CTGATTAGCTTTGCAACATTTCCGCTTTGTTATTTGAGATGAAATGGTGACAGGTCACATATACAAGTTATGCCAGGTTGGGAAGCGCATTTTTTTTTTTAATTCTTATACATATAGCACCAATAGAACAGCATGACAAAACATTCCCAAGAAATCTACTAAGAGTTAATTACATTTGAAACTCTTATGTATATTACTTTGCATTCTTCATTTTTTCAGTCGAATTTGCAGGCCATTGAAATTGGAAGGAAATATTCGTGATAAGATTATTCCACCTTCTGAAAAAACGCCTTATATAGTACCACCCTATACAGTAATAATTCCAGGTAGATGTTTTCGTTATTACTGTTTGTGTGTGCTCATATCTTGAAAGTTGTGCATTATGAACTTGCTTTTGAGGAGTTTTGAGGATTATGAACTTTTGAGGATTATGAACTTTGCTTTTTCAACATCTAATTTCTTACTACCATTTTTGTTGTTCAACAATAATGTTTTTACTTTTTGTATGTTTTCATTCATCCTGGAACTCAAGGTGACTAACTTTAAAGTAATGGAATAGGTTTAGTTTCTTTCCATAATAATCTTTCCAGATAATATTTGCTAATGCCATAGTTGGTGATGCAAGAGGAAGGGTAAGTAAGAGACTTACTTGCATGTATAAGGATATGATAATATTGCCGTTAATACCATGAAAAGCCGGATTAGAGAAACATTGATAGCAGCAAACCGGATACAGGAAGGTATTGAAATATGGGATACCGTTCACGACAACAACCACTAAATGTTTCAATTCAATCAGCCCACTAATCAAATGATTATCGCTGATTCGAAACATCAGGATTTAATTAACTAACTTTTGCTCAGATGTTCTGCGTCGCTCATCATATTCATATCAATATTATAACGAGGTATCAAGACCGACGAGTTTTCTTGCCATGATTACGGTATGGTGAAAATGAAATTGGAGAGAAAAGTGAGTGGCTTTGTAGAGATTTTGCGTAAATGTTATTGTATGAGTTTATTTCACTTTTCAGTTATACCAATGAAACCGAGAATAATTGTTGCTATAACTACTATCATTGATCCTATCACTGCAGAAAGACATTCTTGGGCCTTCATTACTCGATATGTGAGCAGCAACAGCACAAGTAGCCAAAGCAGAATTCGTTCACTCATATTAGCAAGCAATACAAACCCAAAATTCTTGTTATCACATTATCATTGTCCACAACTTTAAACTAATTCCTACGCATTCATTTTTAGTTGGAGGATTGCAAAAGTAGTAAAGAGTGGTAACTGCTTTCCCCCAGCTCTATTCCGTTTCAACTAATTCTCATGTTGCATCATTGAAAATAAGAAATAAAAAAGCAGAGAAGTGAAGAAAAAAAGGAAGCCAAAATATCCCTAAAGAGTGTCTAACAGTTATATCAAACTAAAGAGTTCCAATTTACCTGAATAAGTACAGAGATGAGTAAAGGCCTTTGCAGATAATGAAAAACGATTACAATAAAAAATCTTGTTGATCTCTTTTTGAAAGACTTGAAAATCAAAAACTAATCTTTTGAACACTTCAGGAACAAACTTACTCCGCAACAAAACTTCAGAGTTCATTACTTGGACATTAGTGAAGCATTCTATCAAATATTCCTAAAAAAGAAATTGCGCATATATTTGTCGTAAAAAAAATAGGTAAATCGACCAACTTTCCTAAAACTTAATGTCTGTTTCCTTTTTACTTCCTTTGATATCACTGATCTTTCAGCCGAAGTTATAATCATGTTAGCCGACATTGTGAGTAAAAATGAGATCAATAGCATACATATTTTCCGGATCATCAACAGGTACAGATTCAATGTTTTTTTGCTTGCGCCGAAAAAAATCTCTATTTGCTTGTTCAAATAACTACCAAAGTACTGGTGGATAGCTGTGAGAGACCCAAGCAAGCATGGACACAGGGAAAGCTGAAGAAATCGTAACTTCTGATAAAATAAATGGTAGAACACAAATTTGTTATTTTTCGAATATTCGGACGGTCTATACTATTTAATAGAAAAAAAAAAACTTTTATGAATAAACATGAGAAATTGTTGGTGTTTTGATAAAGAATGATATAATCAGTTGTTGGTAATTGAGAAAATTTAGCTATCAAACAGTTTCATTGAATAATGATGAGGACTTCTGATCATGAGATAAACAAATAAATCAAGCATTTCCTTGCATTGTTTATATGCAACATATTTTAAACTTAGTTTTTGCGTAATAATAACCATTGCGATGATGTTTAGTAATTGCGGATACAAAGAATGTTTTTTTAATCCCCTGGATATACAGTGGAGAAACTGAAATATAAAATAAAGCTTATCACATTTCAAATTATATCATTCACTTCCAGTGAGAACCAACGTCGCTGATGGTATCTTCAGATAGTAATGGTACCTTTAGATAGTATGTTTTATCATAATCAATGTCATTATAGATATGATTATATCCAACATTATCATGATACATTACTTTCATAATTACCATCATATTCCTTTCTTCATGATTTGCTATTTAGTTGTTGATTATGCTGTTCATTATTGATCTTAATGCCAATTTTTTTCTAATCATTTGGAAAATTATTATCTGGAAAAGGTAAGCATTGAAAAAGATCGGTGATAAGAGGGATAGGAAAATGCATGTTTCTATCAAGACAAGCAGTTTTTTTTGATTGAAAGTTATCATTACTATTATCATCACAACTCTTTTGTTATGCAAACAAGTTATTTACAGCGGGCAGGTTGATGTGAAGTCTCGGCTAGTGACAGCTACGCTACTGGGGCGGCGAAAAAAAAAGTGAGGCAAAAAAAGGAGACAAACAGGAAATAGCAGATAGCACAGCACAGCACAACATACACACATAGGTAAAATGGGGCGGTGTTCATTTTGCTGTACTAAATAAACAAGACCACCCATGATTACATGATACTACTCCACCTGCTGTTGCTGTTTTGATGTTGATTACGCGGTTGGCTTGTTTGCTTCATTGTCATTCGCCCCCCTCCCCCTCCCTCTTCCCAATCCCTATACTTTTATTGTCTTGTCTCCTTGACATTTTTTTGTTTCTGTAAGCATGACATATTGCGTGAAATGATCAAATCCATTATTATCAACCATTAGAGTAAACATGGAAACTAGTAGATGGATGAAATGTTGACTTGTTGAGCAAATAATATAACGAAAACGAATCGACAACAGAAGCTTTTCAATAAAGCATCCTATCCTTTCTTGACATTAACTAAAAGGTTGGCAATTTTTTTTCTTATATCATACAAGTTTTTCATTCTCATCCAAAGTGAATTTATTACTACTGTTAATAGATGAAAAAATAATACGGTTAAGTGTGTAAATTACCTATGGTACTATGATACTTTAATCGTCGCAGGATCGCGAGGAGGCCAGAGGGAGATTTTCATCTTATATCAATTCCTGGATCAAATAAAATATCATGAAGAAATTTATTTTAATTTATTCTGAACGAAAATAAATTTAATGAATAAATAAATTTTGATTCTTATGCTTATACCTCACCGATTTTGGTCATTGAAATATAGTAAATTCCAATTTTTGTTTCTGGAAAAAAATCATATGAACCCGATATATATTGGATGAAGAGTGAACTTCCCTATCTCACCTGGTGGATGATATAACGTGTCGTTTAGGGAGAAAAATGTGAGCTATAGGCACGTATTTGAGTTGTTATGTATTAGTTGTTATTATCATTGTTATTGTTGTTGTGCTCTTTATTGGCGATGTCGTCGTGTAATTTGTATGTGGGCGCATGACAGTTGTGAGGCATAACATAGAATTATGATAAGAGGGACAGGAAGCAGAAAAAGAGGGGAGTAAACAAAGTGGGTAACAAGTAACAGTTATTGAGTGAAAAGGAGGCAACAACGACAACAACAACAACATCACAACAGCAAATAACTATTATATTATCACACAACTAACGATCACTCAACTTGTCTGCTTCTGATATCCCAACAAACTTCATGATCTTTAAACACACTGTTATCATTGCAAATGTACCACTAACACAACTTTTTAAGTTTTATGCATGGGATTTGGTATCTCTACGTTCTTTTATTTTGGGAGGAAATACTAATGGTCTAAAAGTTGCAAAGTGTATTTTCAGCATATTTTCAATACGTAATAAAGTTATCCCATATAATTGCTCCGTTATTGCTTTTTATATTTATATATATCTTTCTAATTTTTCCAGTTTTTCCAGTACTATTCTTCAAGTACATCCAGTAGCATCAGTGAAGTTAACTACCATCTCCCTCTTCCTAAACTATTGGACTTTATGTCTGAAATACTGATCCGGGCTTTCCTACTTTTTTTATCGTAGCCCTTTGTTTATATTTTCAGTCCTCACTGCTTGCCATCATCATCTAACTTAAACGCTTCAGGAACCAACATCCATTTGGATCCGAATCTAATCATTTACTCGACTTCTTCCGGAATTTTGTAACATCTATCATCACTATTGTTCTAGCATCAATCATAACAGCAACGTTTGCCTAAACTTAGTGATTCATCCCTTATCGTCGTCCGAACGGTTCATTTTCCTTTTTTTTTTGCAAAGGACAATTTTTATTCTAACAAAAAAAAGAGAAAGGTAAGGAGTAATTATGTTATTTGTTCGGGGATGTTTACGAAGGATTCATCGACAACGATACACACAGAGATGAACAGACCTGTGTACACACACGTATTTGATGTGTATGCGTGTGTGTGGGCGGCTGATGAACGGGTTGTTGACAAGCTGGCGTTAGAGGGTTAGAGTAGGAGGTTATGGCGAGGCGGCAAAATCGAAACTGGTAAATGCATGTATTTACAAAAAAATACACGTAAGAAACACGCATGCCACGTTTGTTTGTAGCGCATTAATGGGCAAAGGATAAAACGTAGATAGATGAACAGACAGACAGACAGACAGACACACGCACACACACACACACACACACACACACACACACACACACACACACACACACACATATATATATATATATGCACATACTTGCACATGCATGTACATATGCACACAGAATGAGATATTACTTATGATGGTGCTCCTTACTGCTTACTTTACTGGTGGAGCTGGGAGAGTTAAGGGGGAAATGAACATGGAGCAGGGAATTGCATCCCTTTCCCCTCTTCAACCCACCACGGAGGATTGTCTGATGTATGGCAATGTAGCATGAACACTCATCTGTTTACATTTAGACGGCGGGGGAAGAAGAGGAGGTTGAGGGGTAAACAGGGGAGTAAACAAGGCCTGTGAGCCTATTGCACTGCTGCTTGTGCTGCTGTTGCTGCTGCTGCATTCGTCAACTGAGTTTGTGCAAAGCGCAGCTGCCCTCCCTCCCCCCCGATCCCCGTGTCTCTGCCCGCCCGCTCTCCATGGAACAATCGGTTCGTTTTTTACTTAGCAATAAAAGAAACGAAAAGGCGGCCCCCCAGACCAGACCTCTTTCCCAAATGAAAGCTATTGGTAGTTTTTGACGAGTTCTCATATAAGCATCGCATTATTTTATACTGACAGCAAAAACGCATCACTTTTTTCTTTATAGGGATTAATTTGTGATATCGTTATCGGATTCTAGAATTAAGTCATTATTATAGCTATTGGAATGTGTGCTGGGACGAGACAAGCTGCTGGAAATTGATGTAGGGTTTAATTTTTGAAATTTTAAATTGTTGAATTTCAGAAAAAATATTAGAGATGTTGCTAGTTTCACGATATCTTTTAAAAGAGCATATTAGTAAAAGTGCTTTGATAAATCTGGTCGAGAAAAGACTTCTTTTCTAGGGCAAGGGAGAGGGGAAGGGAGGATGGAGGAAGAGTATCCCCTCTTAAAGACCAGAGTGGACAGATCTGTATGTGATATGTGATATTTTTCATGACGAATCAATAACAACTCATCTTGATCCAAATAACTAAATAACTCTTTTTTCCAGGGGTCACCAAACATTTCAACCAACACTAATTCAGATCAAGACGTCCTAGCTCACGAGTTAAGCGCGATGCAACGCAATGAACAAGCACAGGTTGGCAGGCATTTTATGTATTTCACTCCTAATACACACTGCTATTTCTTTCCATTTTCCTGAGTGTCTTGGATTGTCGCGTTTTCAAAATTTGGATTTTACCGCCAAATGTGATTGCGTGTGACAACTCATTTTTTCTTTTGTGCACTTTTCCGAAATGCGAAGATTTTCCGAGTTAAAATAATATATGGACTGTGTTGTAAGTTGAAAATTTTGAATGGAACTGTGAAATAGGAAGAAAATGGGTAGTGTTTCTCCATAAGTATGGTTTTTTTCTTACTAAGGCTGAGCAAATGTTTTTGTTGGCATTACACGAACGCTTGGCTCAGCAGCTGCGACCTCAGACGGAACTTCAGCGGATTTGGCAAAATATGATGCTTGGCCTGCCAGCTTTATTACCACCACTGGACTTAACAGCTTTACCGGGTACCAGCCAAGCCTTAATGCATCCACTCTACCAGGTTAGTTGGTATTTTAGTTTTTGAAAAATTTTCAAGTCTCAAGAATCCCTTCAAGCAGTAACAGCAAATATTCTTACTCCCATTTACCTTACAGACAATATCATGAACGATATAGTCCCAAACATTTCCTGTGCTCAATTCCTCGTTCTCTGTTTCTTCCCCTCTCTTTCTTCCTCTCCCTCTCCGTTACATGGTCATAACAAGCGAGCGTGTACAACAAGTAAACAAATACATCGAAATTTGTCGTTGACCTCTAACTTTTGTTCATTATATCTGTGTGAGGCGGAAATTCTACGTAGCACTTGCATCTATTTGTAGGAACGTTTTAAGTTTCTCCCTCCTGTCGAAAGGGATGATTAAAGTGCTGATATTAGCCTTATCATATCTGTTAATTTAACTGTCGTATTGCAATCATCAGATTTGATGGATGTGTATTGATGTATGTTGAACAGCATAGTATTGAGAAACTTAAATTGAAATTTAAATTAAGAAAAATTTCGTTACGTACATATATTTAGTTTCAATATTTTTTGCCATAAAAATGGTTTAGAACATGAAGCGCAATGAGAATTTTATTTAGAATTCGTTGTGTATATATTTATGCTGTTTTGCAGACTCGCAATTTACCGGTATGAGTAAGAGAGTCTAAAGTTGTCTCAAATCAGCAGCTAAATAACTGGAAATTATTATCTGTAACATTTAGATATTACATTTCCTTCTCCTCAAAATGCATTAGACACATTTTTTTGTTTAAGCATCTCTTAAAGCTAAATTGTAATATCACCAGGTAAGCAGTTTCATAACTTCCTTTAAATGGTGTTTGCTTGAATTCGAAATGAATGCAACTTTATTTATTCATGTATACTTTTACAATGCGAGTGAATCAATGAGTATATCACACGTGATCCATGAAATATTCTGTATGCTGCAATATGTTTTCATTAAGAAGAGGAAAAAAGAAGTTATACCATAACGATTTACTTTTTATCATCAAAAAAAACTGTCAGACTCCGTAAATTTGTACAATCTGTTTGTACTCTCAGTAATTAGATATGAAATTTTATGTCATCAGTAGAAATGACATTGATGTCGTCAGATTCGACTGCATGGGAGCAATGAAACGAAAATGTAGGGATGAAGTATTATGGTGGCATAATTTAACATATCAACATATTGCTGGGACAAATAGCGTAACCATTCCCGCATATTTAAGGATAAGAGGAAAAGGTTATGACGATAGATAAAGGGTCGAACGGTTGTTGTTTATCATATGAGCGCACTGGAATTATCTTCACTTGATTAGTAAACAGAAACACATGAAGAGGAGAAGTGGTATAAATCAAGTAAACAAGCGCATTCGATTGTCAAGTATATGTACATATTTTACACACAGAAGAGATTAACCCTTTCCTCTTTCTATAATGCGCCTCCTTCCTTTCTGCTTTCTCCCGCACCTCTATCCGTCATCCTCGTTCATTCTGAAACATTTGTTCCTCACTCCATTGAAATTTATCTTCTAGACTAAATTTTTTTTCAGATGTGTTGACGAATTGAAACACAAACTTGGTTATGAATCCTTTTTTCCGTTAATGGGAGCTACTACGATAACTTCTTATTGCATCCTTCTCTGATAACTTTAGAGTTATGGCATTTTTATGTTGATGATAGTTTTTTTACCAGTAACAATGGCAACTTTTATTAACGATAACAGAATAATAATACGATGGGTATAAGAGGAAGTAATGATGTGGTGGAAATGTTGATATGAATGGTGATGATATTAAATAATAGAAATGATGAGAATAAGCACGTTATAACAATAATTAGTGATCATATGATGATATTAGCAATAATTGTGATGATGAAAGTGTTCAGGAAATTGTGAAAAGAAGCAAGCTGTTGTGCGCATATTATTTGTTTTATTAGAAGAGGACAAGAAAGCTGCAAAACAGAAAGCGTTTACTTTTAGAAAAACAAACAGATGTTTAAAAGGGTACTGCATTATAACCCGTTCAGTGGGAGGGTGTGTAGCTATAATGATTACTGAAATGAATTACTGTGTTAGAGAATGAAAAAAGTGAAGAGTGTACTATGAATTTTACGCTATATGATCTTCAGTAAAAAAAATTCATTTTCTTGTTTTGTCTTACTTTTTCTTTCTTTTTATAACATTAATAAAAAAAATGGAATAACGTAATTTCTTTTAACACTTACATATTGCTTATTTGAAGTGTAGTTTAAATATGCGGCGTGCAATCAGTAATTGGATGCTATCACACTAATGTATAAGACCGACGATACGGGGAATGTTTTTATCCGATTAGTACGTAAATATGTTAATTGTCGCGCTGCTTCTTTAGTGACCGCTGCCGTTGTCGGGGGAAAAGAAATTCATTTTCATCGGTATCGCGCGCTCAAATCAAAGCCGCGTCCGTTTGCGCAAGTCGTTTTCAGAGTGACATAAGTAAACATCACAAAGGAGAATCGTTAAGTAAGAATCATAACTGTGAGAGTCAGAACGAAGTTGAAAGAATAAACTGATTCATAGTATGAACATGGAATTAATTATTTATACTAAACTTAATAACTCAGGAATCTTTAATTCTGCGTTAATTCCTCTCCACAAATTCCTGTATTTCTTTTTTTTTTTGTTTCACTTAGCAGTAATTTGTTAAAATTAGCCACATCATTAGAGTTTTCTTCAGCCTCTGAATAGTTCTTCGATGTCGATGCAATTGATTGCGCAGCAATTAAATTTTCTACTGAGTTTATCGTTATTCATTGCTTTATAACATTCAGTCATCTTTGTCTTCATTTGATTTGATGGATTTTTAGATTTATTGTTGAGAAGTCTGAAAGGTGACTGAATATTACGATTCGAACTATTATTTCTAAGTTATTCGATATTCTATATTGTGATTTTGGGATTTACAAAAAATTTTTGAATTAATCTTGCAACAGTTGAAATTGTCGTTTATGTCAATAACCGTTGGACATAAAGAAGTGCAGAAATCTAAAAGCAATGAATGACAAATAGTATGAGAGGGTCGCTTTTCCATCAGCATCCTGAATTATCACTATTGCGGAAGGCATCACAGTTTATTTTCATATCATTGCGCGATCTCAACATGGTTTTAAAATTGTTATCCTTCCGTACTTCGATATGTCAACCCCACTTCTCATAATCATTTCTCTTCCCAAGTTATCTAACTGCTGTCTGTTAACGCAGTTTTTGATGGCTTTTGTTGACCAAAATATAAGGTAAGAGAAATAGGAAGCAACAGTTTATTTGCTTTGCTACTAACGTAATAATACGTAAAAAAAAAAAACAATTTTATAAACATTATATTCGGTCTCTTAACTTCTCCCATACCTTAGCAGTTGTTATTGCAAGATTCTCTACCAACTATGTGACCTATGAGACTCATTCAGTGACTGACCTGACTGATTACGTTACTACAAACGAAAAAATGATGGCAAAAAAATGTGGGGAAACAATCATTTTGCATAGTATGTGTTTATAATTTTATCAAAGTTTCATTTTTCAATTTTTGTTCAGAAGAAAGCATTAGGAGACAAATAAGTGATTGAATACATAGCCAGATATCAGACTTTCAAATTTTCGAGAAAATTTCTGAAGCCAGAAAGTGATGCTGTACTTGTCCAGGTCTCAAAATTTTGGAGCCATTTCACGGATTTTTCATTTGAAATAGATGGAAGGAGAATTTGGAAAGATGAAAATCAGAAACAAACACTCTAAATTCGATACTGCGAAAGCATAATTGTTGTCATTTTACATTCACTGCGAGACTACTATTTAGTTCAAATATCAGCATGGGAAATGAAAGAAAGGGACACACAAAAAGACGAAGAGAAGATTGATCGACGAGTTTATCTTATAACAAAATAAAGTTTGTTCCCAAAGCTATCGGAAAACTGTTTTTTTTTAATGTTTACTGTAGCATTTATGTTTGTTCCATTTCATTTCATTATCCCATCATGCAGCATCTGCATCATTACTCTTACCATATTCGTCTATTCTCACTCACTAATCCACTGGAATTCCCCCTATAGATTCCACTCTCTTCCTGTACTTCTGAATTCACATTGCGAATCTTTTCAAACCCATTTGCGCGTGGAGATCGACAAGTGAATAAACTTTCATCGATGTCACAGAATGTGATATTTAAATGAACATGTTGCAGAGGCTGAAGAGTACACTGTGATCTTTCGTTATTAATTAGTACAATAGGCTATCAAAAACATCTGTGAAAACTTATTCCTTAAATAAGTGAGCGCGATAATTGTTTATTTGATGTCTGTTATATGTTAGTATAATGAATACAAAAGAAGATACTATGGAACCAACTTAAATGTTTTGTCATAATGGGGACTAATGTGGAAATAGGATAGATGAATTTCCAAGCTGTTCAAACATGCTAAAAAAAATGGTATAACAAGGAGGGAATACTTAGCAATCATGAATTGTACGGGACCGTCAGCGAGTGCCAAAAGTGTTCAGTGCGATGGCGGCTGCCGTTAGAACAATTTTCTTTCATCGTATTTTACACTTCTTTTTCAAGGTTGTGGATTTCACTTTTTTTCTCTCTACTTTTAAACTTTTTTTCAGCATAACCTCTGCACTTGGCCACAGTGTGACCAGCCATGCGAAAATTTCCCCACATTTTTGCACCATTTGGCGACGGTGCATACGCTCGACGAGAGATCCGCTCAGCAGTGTCGAGCTCAAATCGAGATAGTGGATAACCTGGAACATAGGCTTAACAGGGAACGTACTCGTCTGCAAGCTATGATGCAACATTTACACATGAAACAGTCACCTGATACTACCACGCCAACCTTAGGCACGTTACAACAGTCGCAAGATTCAGCATCCATTCCATCACCAACACTTGCAGAGTCAAAAACTGAATCCCTACCCGATCAGGTAGTTATTTTTATCAACTTATTTGTTTCTAAACTTTATAGAACTTATTTGTTTCTAAACTTTCTCAAAAATACGGAATAGAATCATTTTGCTGATATTTTCGATACGTGTTTGCGGTATTTTTAAGTCAGGGATTGAAATGATTGGATTCTGTTGCTATTGGGTTGAGTAAATACAATTTTTAAGTTCACATTGATTGTGGTAAAAGGTTTGCTTATCTTAGAGGTGCATGAAATTCAAAAAATACGCCGGAACTGTTACTCACTTTTTTAGTTTCACTCCCGCAGGAGGAAAGCAAGAATTTGCAAATTGTTTGACAGATAAGTAAATGCAGGATGTAATGGTTTTCCGTAACATTAGGTGAAAGAATATTGAGAAGTGATATATGTTGAGATATGTGAGTGAAGTCTTGTACCTTTTTGGTACCTGTCTAGATTTTATTTAATAGAATTAGTCGAGATTTGACAGAAAGTATCTCCTTTTTTTCTTTCCAATTGAATTTAGCATTAATTGAGCATTATTGATATTGGGAAAAATGCATGAGTAAAAGGTTTGCTTTATTAGTCTAACTAAAATTGTTTCTTTAGCAGCAGACGATCTCGGCATTGTCATTACCAAGTGTGTCAAACATTGAAGGTTCACAACAGCAGCAGCAAGAGCAACAGCAACAGCAGCAGCAACAACAGCAACAACATCATCGTCTTACAACTCCAACACCGCGGCGGAAAATCAACGACAAGGTTGTTTTACATATTTCAACCGATATTGCAAGGAATCGCGAATTTTATCGGACACATGATGTACGCCCACCGTATACATACGCATCTCTGATACGCGAAGCGATCATGGAATCAAAGGATTGCCAATTAACACTTAACGAAATTTATCAATGGTTCACGGAAACGTTTGCATATTTTCGCAGGAACGCCGCAACTTGGAAGGTGATACTGTAATGGTTCATTTTTACCATATATCATGAAATTCTGATTTAAAAAATTTATAGCTTCAGATCTTGTAGTTGTGAAATAAGATGTGATTAAATGAGACCGAAGAAATTGTGCTCTACGTACTCCACATCTGGGTAATAATAAAAATTCATCAATGTTTGGGTGGTCTGTTAGTATCAGACTCATGCAAATTTTTGAAAGAAACACAACGTTATTTGCGTTTTAAAATATCGTCATAGTTAAGTATGTTTTTGTGGTTTACTCTAAAACAAAGATAAGAAATAAAATGGGAATTTACTTTAGGACTGTCAAATGACAATGGAACCGAGAAATTTCCATAAATTTTAATTTAAATTTTTCAGAATGCAGTGAGGCACAACTTGTCATTACATAAATGTTTTGCACGGGTTGAGCAGAATGTGAAAGGTGCTGTATGGACAGTGGATGATTCGGAATTCTACCGACGGCGGCCTCAACGTGCACATACGTCACGAAGTACGCCGTCAACACCGAAACCTGATAATCCATTAAGTTTACTTTCCACAGCAGCTGCAGCATCCGCGGCTAGTATGATGATTGCAGCCAGCGAGCATCCAGAAGCGGTGCTGCTTTGTGATATCAAGCAAGAAGTTTTAGCTGCCGAGAATGTTACTCCCAGCTCGTTGCAGATGTTCATTAAGGAAGAAAAATCCAGCCCGAAACTTGATGTCAGCGAGGAATCATAGTGTGGTATCCAGAAATGCGTCTTCTAGAAATTCAAGTTTAAATTATACAAATTTTATGAATAGTTTCTCACTGTACCTTTCTCATGTTATATTTTTCACATTTAATGGTAATAATTTCAATAGAAATCTGGTCATACTTACGGTTTCAGCATAAAAGGAGCGAGATGTACTTTTTTTGAAATATTTTTATGCAGCTTTTTATTTAGTAGAAATTTGATTCGATTTATTTTATATCCTACCTCATTTTTTCCGCCTGCTTGTTTCATTTTTTTTATTCGACTTCTTAATTAATTTTGAATATGACATTGAATGATACTTCTTTTTCACACCAGTATTTTTATTTCTGTATTTTCCCATCATTTTTTTGAATCATGAATTCGTCTGCTGATATCTTATCACAAAAATTTTTCATATCCGCTTTTCCAATGTGGTGCAGGTTTTTTTCCTTTCTGGCAAATAAGAAATGACTATCAAAAGTATAGATGTGAAATTTCTTAAAGTTACTATTGTTTATTATTGATTTTTTCAATTACTAATGCTCAAGTTTCTGGTTTGAATTTTGAATTTGATGAGCAAACAAATTCTGTGCAGTTTTTGGAGCTAATGTATTTTATTATCATGTTGATTTTATTTTACTAATTCTTATGCGGGAACCACTCTCCAGTGCGCTTGCAAATTGGTCAATAATTGATGAAATAGACAGGATTCTATTTTGTCCAGCGAAGGCAACTGAAATTGGACTCCAGCTATTTCTGGAGTGTTTGAGATATTTGTAATTTTTCCGCTGGCCACTGGGAGTATACCATTGCTCTAAAAATCCTTTCACGAGAAATTCTGCAATTTTCAAATAGAGTTTTAAGTCGTTATGAACTTTGGTCGAATTGCATTTTTTTGTTGGCTATGGCGTTGAGAAAAACTGCTGAAAATTTGGGCGGGAGAGTTTCCTGAAAACAAATAGTTTAAATTATTAAGGAGGAAGATTCCAAAATTTTTTGCTTTGATCTGGATATTGTATATTGTTTTGAAATTATTATTGTACTTTTCATACCTTATAAACTTAGGGATTAGTCAAAGTGAAAAGTTAAAAGCAGATCTTCCACAAGATGCTCATTGTGATAGAAGAAACCTGGGTTGGCGTTGTACATATGAAGATGCCATATAAACGAACCACTGAAGACGAGTTCTGTTGAATTCTGCAGTTTACCGTCGGGTCTTTTTTTTATTGTGATCATGCACTCTGATCTTCACCATTTTTCCTTGTATGTAACTTGATTTTCATTTTCTGTATAGTTAATTGAAATTAATGTTTCCGTTATTTACCATTTCTCGAAGAATATCGCTTATTGCTAATTGGCACATTTTCACGCCATTATACATTATAAAAAATAGTATTGGAAGCAAGATCTTTTAGTCACTTACCCATACATTTAAGAACAATCTTAAATATTACATAAATTGAGAATTGTATCTCTTGCCACTTTTTTAAGTGGGATCATTTTTAAGCAATATAAATTTAGAAAAGGATAAATATGAGCGACATGGACGGATATCGTGCTGAAAACCGATAAATTATAAGAAACAATTGTATGTATGAAGTGTGTTATGTATATGCAAGCTCTGTGTGCAAAGAAGTCTGTTCGGATATAGTTGAGAATCGGCGTGTTTGATTGGGGTCTGTACACTCTTGGGTGATTATGGAAGAATACAAATAAAAGAAAATGCGATAGTATTTACCGGGGGGAATTAGGAGTCTTTCAGATTTGATTCATGCCAACTCGTAGCTTCTTTGTTCCAAGTAAATTCATATCGTAAATTGTGGCTTATTATCTGTGTAAAAGCGGCATGAACTTTTAAATAAGACGAAAAGTGTGTTTTTATAAAATGTCCGCTGCAAATGAAGTGAAGGAATGAAAGGATGGAATACAAACACGGCAATAAGATGAATTCATTTTCATACAATTCGATTGAGTTGTATATTCTGGATACCTGCCACATTATGCGCATAGTAGTCTATATTTAAGTAAATTAATGAAGAAATGATTTTAATGGCTGAAGAAGTGCAATGTATGGGTAAACAAAATGGATAATCACCACTGTCTAGTGTGTACTATTTAAAAAATTTTGTAGATATCGGGGGAAAAAATATTGGAAATTGGGGGATTTCTTCATGCTACAAAGCTAATCATTACCGCACTGTGTGCAACATGATATTATAAAAATGGAGAAATGCGGAGAAATTTCACAGTTGCTGAAAAATTTTCTAAAATAATATGCTATAAGAAATTTCTAGTTGGCAAGGAAGCGATAATATAACACCGTGAATCTCGTAACCATGGATACGCCGTATGTGAGGGTCAACTATAAATTTTTTAATTTAGATTTTAATATGACTCTTCGATCACATAAATAAATTCCTTCATATATTTTGTGTTTTACACATCGTTCGATTTCATTCTATTCCCATTATTTTGCATTGGCGCTATTGTCCAAGAATGATTAAGGATAGATTATCAATCAATCGTTCAACATTTCATTTGGGCACAATAGCATTAGAAAATTTTGAGTGCAGCTATTTTTACCTCTTCCGTTAAATAAAATGTTACCATTTATAAAATATGCAGATGTCCCATTACTGATAAAACAAACGTATAAAACGAGATGGATTGGAACGAAGAAGCCCCAGTTCAGAAAATTATCAAAATAGTGGTATGCGGAGATGGTGCTAGTGGCAAAACATCACTTTGTGTACGATTTGCTCAGGATAATTTCGGGCGACAATATCAGCAGGTTTTGAACTTTTCCATGCTCCTCATCATTATTATCATTGGTTTAACAATATAAAAAATATTCAGAATCTTTTTTCTCCGAATGTTCTCGGATTGTTTAGTTTTTATTTCGTCAATTTCGGGTAGCTCTTTTGTTACTGTTTGTGATATGACAACCAAATATTTGCAGACTGTCGGCCTGGATTTTTTTACCAAAAGGTTAACTTTACCGGGCAATGTTTCTGTCCTTTTGCAGGCGAGTTGATTTCATCATATTGCGCATATTCTCTTGTTTAATATATAAAAAAAAAATTTAAGCTATCATTGGACCGTTTTAGTGTCGACAAAGTGTTAAAGTCATCTGATATAAAACCTTTGTTCCGAAAATTCAGTTTTTATTTGGATATTGCGGTACCATAACTAATAATTTCTAGATTTGGGATATTGGAGGACAAAGTATTGCAAGTCCGATGCTTGAAAAATACATCAACGGCGCACATGGCGCCGTTGTTGTTTATGATGTTACCAACAGCTCTAGTTTCGAAAATTTGGAAGACTGGATTAATATCATCAAGCAAGTTACCAAAGCTCAGGAAAAAGTAACTATACAGTACAAAAGTTTGCCTCTCGAAATTCACATAATGCCTTGATGTCGATTTCTTTCTTTTCTTTTTTCAGAATCTGAAAGCAGATGCGATGCTCATACTTCTTTAGCTTGAGGTTGAAAAACTGAAGTAACATCATTCCTGCGAAGATTATAAAACAAAAATTATATAAAATGAAACAGATTCTAGCCAATCCTACATGCAACCGTTTACCAAACGATTAACGATTTAAAGATATGTAGAGGCAGTCACCAGATTCCATTTTATAACAGTATAATTTTCCGCTAAATGTTTATCAAATCTTCAACATTCAGTTTTTTATAGATCATGCAGAAACAATTTGTGGCTCAAGTTTTTAGAATATTTCAGCCTGTTGTACTGATGCTTGTCGGTAATAAAATAGATTTGGAACATCGTCGAGTCGTTCGTATTGAAAGGCACACCAAATTCGCACTGCAATATGGGATGTCCAGTTATTACGTATCAGCGAAAACTGGTGACAGTGTCATGCTTATGTTCAGGTACATTTCAAAATTTTATTTTCCCTGAGTAAAAGAATGACTTTGATTTACGATAATCCATCCAACAAATAGATTCTGCAACTTACAAAAACAACGAAAAGCGAACGCTGGTTACCCGATGTACGGCTCTTTGTTGTTCTTTTTATTACATATGCGTACCAGATCATTTAAGACATGAAAAATCCTTGTAAAGCATTCCATATGTGTGTTTCTATTTCTATAAACAAGAAAAAGAAATCCACGTAATGGTTCAATTCTTTCTTTTCTTTAAAACTGTAAATTTATAGAAAGACAGCTGCTGAAATCCTTGGAATCCCGTTGGAACAAAGCGATACAGAAGGGGATATCATTGTTGTGAAAGCTTCCGTTACAACACCAACGGAAGCAGAATCAAAAGCATCTCAGCGACAACTGCGAGCTGATCAATCTCGTAATACGACTGCTTGCTCAGTGATGTAACTCGTGTATTGTTCCTATCTTTACTCTACTCACAAGCATTAGTACAGTTATTTTTTGCTACAAGTATTTACATAAAATTCCTTTCTTTTTTTGTCAGCACATCAGGATTTCCCTGCAGTAATGGGGTTCTTAAAAATCTACCTATCAGCATTGTATACACTTTGAACTTTGTTAGGCCTTTCTTTACCATCGTAGATACATTTCATTCTGCAAGACTGAATCTCTAGTGTCATGCTGGTATCTCAAACTCTCAAGAAGTAAAGGGAAGAAGTGTTGGACAATCCCCATTTTTAACTTCAATTAAACAGATGTAACGGTGGTGGTTATTCCAACAGTTCAATTCAGAGTTTAATGGCACATGCAGAAAAAGTGGGAGGAGATGAAGTATGTTGTCCCCAGAAGAACACTATCCATGGTTAAAGCTTCCACCCTAATTCCAATTACACCTCATCAGACAGATCAGTTTCACGCTAAACCTCGAAGACCCAAGTCGGTGAAGTTGGTTTGCGAGGTGACTCTTTCGGAAGTAAGGTGCGTAGAATATCTCTTACTGGTGTGATGAGTATAATTGGATAGCTATGGTGAAGCGCGTTTGGTACGTAGATGATGTATTTTCTTACAAGATAAGACTAACAACTCGTGAGATACTCTCACATATCACGACGAATAGTTGACGGTTTTCGATGGATCAATTGTTAAATTCTCAGAAAGTGGTATAAGGTTATTGTATATTTGCATAAATTTGATATGAAAAATTACTGATAGCAAATAAATAAGGAAGGATGGAATTTTTTAAGTGGTATATGTTTTAGTAGTAGCGCTTTTGCACGGTTGTCCAGTGGAATTTGGTGGGTATCAACTTTCAGTCACCGAGGTTAATCTTCATTACTTTACTGTTCGGATTAGTTATTTAGACTCAAGTTTGATTCGTTATTGTTAACACAGTATGAGCGCTTGTAGATTCACTTGTCTCTTTTTCCTTCTCTCGTTTCTGAATTTTCTGGATTGCGCATTCTCCGTTATTATGATATTTTTACTCCCGCAATATTTTTATTTATTTCTATGTCTTTTCTCTGGGATTACCTTTGTTAAGTTTATGGAGCTGAAAATTTGTAAGATGTAAATCTAGAAGACATCTGTTAGTGCAGTTATGATGATAGATCGGTTTCGGATTGATAATGAAAATATTCGGAAACTGTGAGGTAGTGGTTGAGGAAATAGATGTTAAAATGGGCACAGATAAAGGAAGTGAATAAACAGTGTTTGCTATGGTCAGTTAAATATGAAGTCCAGTAGCTCTCTGGATGCATGGTAACTGTAATCTTATCACAGCATTCTCAAATATCATTTTCAACAATATTTTATCACAGTTAGTGAAACGTAGTTCGTTCTGTTGTACATATTGGCGACGTAGAATATGCTTCAAAGGAGATAAACTCAGCTGTAATTTAAAGAACCGTTGGTGAAAAAGAATAGAAAGATACCAGCAAGCTGGAACATAATTTCTATAAACACCAGCACTTTTTCTCTGGTGTAAGGAATATCATTGAGGCAATGTAAAATATAAAAGGCTACGTTTATTATGTAGGGAATTCTGCATTGTAATGCTACTTAATCATTGTGGGAAATGTGTTGAAGGGAAATTTAATGATCCAGTCCTGTATTGGTTATTCTTATTTGACATGGTAGTATTGTCAATGAATCTCAAATCTGACATTCCATTTCATACTTCACATCATTTTGTTTGTTTAAAAGTTGTTTCATGATCTTTTATTTTTTTTAATTAAGGTGGCTCCATGTTTTGAAATGTAAGAAATGTATGTCTTTGGTTTGCATATCAGGTATTCAAGCCAGTGTATACTGGCTTTTCATTTGTGGTAAATGATTATTTGCCAGAGTCAAGCAACAGTTTTAGCTTTGAATATGTAAAACTTTATTTTTGTTTTCCCATAGGTAAATAGCTTTCATATAACAGGTAACCTTATTTTACCACTATTCCAATAATCTCCAGGTCCAGTTCTAGAACCACGAAACCATCCTCTGCGGTCGGCAGAACAGGGCGATGGGACAAATAAGGAAAAATAAGATTGACTACTTCTGGGCGTCAGATAGAGACTAAATTTTCTACAACCTCTTTGTTTATAATTTTGGTTCTGCTTACTTTTTACTTGCCTTTATCCACTTTACACTATTAAAAAGAGTCATTTTTTGGAGTTGGAATTTTCTTAACCTTATTTCTGAAGCTCCTATAACACTATCGATTTGTTAATTCACCTGGTCGTAAGTTGCTTGTATGTTGATTTTTTCCATTTCTTCATTCTGTACTTCATTCTTACTCAATTCTCTCTCTCTCTTTATATATATGTTGATTTTTTCAGGTTTTTGCTCTTTGAGATCTTTGTACAGTTTTGTGCAATGTTTTTTTTTCTTTAACTTATTCATACTTTATAAATTTCATGTCATGAAAGCGTACTTTTCAGTAACAGGTAGCTAATGGATTCATTGAATGGATTTTTTTCAAATTCAGCTAAACTGATAAGGTTCAGCATCGTAAGACCATTTATGCGATTTACCTAATAATGTTTCAACGCATTCTTAGTGATAGTGTAATTCTACAAAAAGTTTTTATGCTTGTCACAGATTATAAGATTTTCTCTCTTCATCTAAGAATGACTGATGATTTTTGATGAACTGAATTCATGGATGACGAGTTAACTGTACAATCTGCTCGAAAGAACTTTTCGACTGAAGAGCTTTTGAGACTTTTGTCCTATTTCGAAGGCGAAATTCAGGCCCGTGATATCGTAATAGCTGCATTAAAGGTGAAACTTCTTTATTTCTTTAGTTTCCATAATTACTGATGTTTCTTAAATATCTATGGAATACAAATTGCCTTCCTGTTGGATAGATTTTTCTGCTAAATTAAAATATTAATTTTAAAAACTTCAGTCAGAAAAGGCGAAGCAGCTGTTACATGAAGCCAAATATGGACAACTTGCCGGGAGTGATCCAGTCAGAGCTTTACAACGTGACTCCAGTTTTGTGGATGAAGGAAATGAAGTTGATGAATCTGCAATTGGACACATGTACGAAACGCAGCTGATGCAACTGGAACGCTTAATTAGTGTGCAACGGCGCTGCCACAATCGATCTAAACAGGCCACTTTTGAATTAAAAGACAATACCGTTTAATAAATACACTGATATGCATATGTTTATTTAATATAGTCTTTTTTTTTACTATTAAACCCATTTTTTAGTCATACACTCTCTACCCGCTGAAGCACAACAAAAAATTTTAGAGCAAAACAAAAATTTGAAAGCAAATTATGTTTTTCATTAGCATAAGTTTTCTGGCAGCGGTGGTAGGAGTGTGATTACTCTTCGTGAAAATGATAGTGCAAATCGCAAGAAAAGTAAATTCAAACAAAACCCTAATTAATTTACCAAAAACTCATCGAATTCCTGTCAAACTTGAAAGGGTTTAATTATGGAACCAAATCTAATCAAAAGCATAGAGAAAAAGTTCATACAGAAAGATCAATAAACCACGAATGATGATAATATCGATGTAACTTCATATTTCCTGTTTTTTGTTGTCTGTTAACAAAATTTTTTCTCCCCTTATTCTTCGAAGCATAAAGGGTTTTGCATTCATTCATTTAAATTAGTGTTGTTTTAGATCTTAGCAGCTACAGAGAAGCGGCATGCACGCATTTTGCGAGAGTTAGATGAAGAAAAACAGCGTTCTGCAGCTGATGCTGCACAGGGTGATGATCTTTGTGTTCTACTTGAAAATGAACGAACTCGTCTTCGTCAGCAAGTGCGTTTATAATTCCAGAAGTGTTCTCTACTTTTCACTCGAATGAGAACGTTTTCTTTTTGTCAGATTTTCTTATTATTTCCTGTGTTTTTTTTCTTTTTCACTAAATCAGGAAAGTTAGGAGATGGGATTATCCAATATGTGGATTCGATAAGACTCCAAATACCTATTGTCACATATCAGTGATTACAAGTCTAAACTGTACATTGAACAATTTCAAATACCTTATGTATTCTTCTTTTCTGTATTACACTAACTGAGTAGATAAGGCATTTCCTTATTTTTTAAGTGTTTTTCGTTTGGCAGAACATAAGCTGAATCGTGTTTAGATTCTGCCAAGCGGAACATGCTTATAAAATTAATTGGTTCGTGTTTATTAAGTATCACAATTCTTTTAAGCTGGAATATGAGCAAAGAGAAGGTGAAAAAGCTCATAAGGAAGTCGAAAAACTGGAAAAAAAATTGAGGGATGAACAAGAACATCATAAGTCGATGGTGTTGTTCTTGGTAAATGAACGGAAGCAAATGTTGTTTGAAGTACATGAATTGAAAGTTCAAAATGGTCGTGGTAATTGGTTTCTTAATGATATAAATTCGCAAAATTGTAAAATTTATTGTATTTGCAGAGATTTCATTTCTATGCATAAATATCGAATATGTTTACAGGTTCTTCATACGCCCAAGAGACAGCATTGCTTGCAGAGATGCGAAAAGAAGTAACTGCCCTACGCTCGGAAAGGGACCAACTGCGTACGGCTTTGGATGCAGCTCTTTCCGAAGTGCAAGCCCTCAAAGAGGTCATCTTACACTTTTTAAGTAATAATCAAAAGTTTTCTGTCTCATTGAAGGTTCACATTTACTGCGTTTCAGATTGCAAGAAACCAAGAGGAAGATTTATCCTTGATGCGTACCAATATACTTGCTAACACGCGAAGTTACGCAAATAATGTGAGCATTTATTAGATAGTGACAAAGCTATGAATTCATGGCAATTTCGTACTGGGCTTCAGCTGCAAGTCGCATTTTTTCGGATTTTGAGTTTTAGTGGTTATCATCTTGTGAAATGACGAATAAATTGGCAATGATTACTCTACAATCGTTAATTTTGAAATATGACAACCAATAGAGCTCTCACTTTTATGATTAGAGCCTATATTGAACATCTTATCTAGATAAGAGAAAATTTTCATTATCCCGAGGTCTACATGGTAGCAATTTGAAATGTGAATTTTGAAATGTGCCTTAGCTCCCCTAATACATTCTTTGACAAGTGCTAGGAAAATTCTCGTTACACAGGTTTGCTAACTTATTCTTCCTTTAGTTGCGATTTTCTGACGATGGCTCCGTGGTTGTAGCAAACAAAGGTGTTTCAAACGCTTTATCACCGTCCAAGAATCTAACACCAGGCTTATCGCCAGCAGTCAGCGATTTGAGGCATCCAGTACGATCCCGACTTACGACTTCCTCAACCTTCCCAGCCAGTAATCGGTTTCCTCATAGTCGTGTTCCTCTTCCAGCACCATCTTCTCAATTAGTCTCATCAATTGCTCCACTTCCTCCCTCAAAGTTAGCTCTTTCAAACAACCGTCTTAAATCATCATTTAGTTATTTCATATTCATAAACTCAATTAGAGAACTCATTTTTAGCTCCAAATTTTAATTTTAATTCTTGTCGAACAGCTTGAACTTCCTTCCGGAATCTTCAAAATTAATATTCAATATTCGTTTTTAAGGAAAGGACAACATCCTGCAACAACTGCACGGCCGGTAACACTGTCAACAATGCGCGGTAGTAATAATCATTCGTCATCGCGTGATCGTGAGAACTCATCAGATTCGTCTGAAAAAATAAAAAATACATACTCAGCTGAACCTGAAATTGAGCATTTGGGTGCAGTGATTGAATCGATGAACACAGGTGCGTAAGTCCAGCCTCTATTAGAAATCAAATAAAATGGCACTCTTTATTCAGCACTGTAAATGAATTTGAGTTTCATTGATATCAAGAATCTCACTTCCAAGGGAAAGTTGGTCGCGCACACGGCTCGTGAAAGCTGCATTTCAGGTAAGCGAAGCGCTTCCTTGCCACGGAATGGCAAAAATGGGGTCATCACTGGATCACAGGCACGTAAACCTGTTCCATCGAAATCTGCTGTCACTGCCAGACGTAGTACAATTTTCAAAGCTCTCGGTGTATCCACACGCAATGACAGGAACGGCACGTAAAGAATAAGCTATAGAAACTTTCTGCAGAAAGTTAAAACGCATTTGTTTACTGGAGGCAAAGCATACATTCTCGTAGCTGTTCGAAAAATAGGGCCATAAACTTTTTTAAAAATAAGTTCTAACATCTTTTTAGATGTATTGGAAGTGTAGTCCCGGCGTACTATCCTTTAGGGGGTATATATTCTCAATCAGAATAGGACATTTTTGAACCCATCGTATGCTTAAGCCTTCAGTTTTTGTTTTCAGAACCAGAATCTATTTGTAAATAATTCCATGTGCATTATAACTAAACGACTCTACAGGGTCGGTTAATTAGGCAGCTCACCAAATTACCTGTGGTTTATGTTTTTACTTGTACATGTAACAGTGTTAACCAATTATTGATGAACAAAAGGTGATTTCGATTAACGTACAAAAGTATAGAAGTAACAATCTTTAGGAGTTAATTTAAGCAAATTGGAAAAAAGAAATTTTTTCATGAAGTTATTGAGCTTCGCGTAAAGGGATACATTTTTTATTCTCTGATAAGAGATTTTATATTTTTCGGCATTATAGCTGATTTCCAAACTTCTGCTTTGGCGGCCCAGTTCGTGGCAGGGAGGTCCTAAAAATTTTCTTTATAGTAGAGATTTCCAAATGGCATTCAGAAAACATTTTTAGGTCTCTGACATATGATAGAAATTTAACAGTTGATTCACCTTTGAGCTGTTAATGCATTGTAGTACAAAGTGACGGCACTGCCATCCATCTGTGTGTCGACTTGTATCTGATGCAAAAGTACACCAATTATGATGCTGCTTCTCAACATCAAAAAAATGTCCTCTTAGAAGCCATAACCCCACTATCCTATTGCAATGTACGCAGACTACAGCATCATCCAAATATTTGCTGTAATGGAGCGACGAAATGTAGTAGTTTCATGAAATTCGAAACACTTCAAAAGCAATTTAGAGTCCTACAATATCGTAATTAGAGTGAAACTTCCGCAACTGCGGAATGGCAAAGCTTAAGTAGTGTTTAAATACGGTAAGCTATGTTTTAAAAACTTCAAGCAAACCAGAGAGATAGTGTCATGGTGTCTATCCAGTACGACCGGATGATTGATCTATCAAAAACAGCGAGTGGCTTGTATGAGACGGATTAAGGCTAACACTACAAATCTCTTTTGGGATTGAAAAATGGGATGTAGCAGTGTCCTATGGACTTGCATCACCAGCAAACGACTGCCCGCAGTGATCCCAATTACTGCACTATTAATAATAAAGTGGAAAATGAACCTTTTTTGCCAGCCAAAACAAATGAGTGCTTTGCACTTCTGTTCAATCGTTTCAAGAACCATAGTTGAAGAACCATAGACTTCAGGAACATCCACTTTAATTTGCTCGAAATCAAGCCCCTTCATGATTTCATACCTGAAATGAACGAGGCTACGAAGTGATGCGCTCAAGATCATTGATTTCATTGTTCTTTTCTTCATGTTGAGTCCTTCACTTGTCTGCCAGAAACAAGCTTTGACTCCGATATGTTGTAGACCGCAAAATCGCGTGATAAAGGAAAGGGTCGGATTCTCGCCGGTTGCATTCCACATGTTCTAGTTTCCAGATAAAATTTGTAATGATCGTGCAGATGGATATAAAGATGAGTGCAGAGTTTCGTCGCAGAACTTCAGTGTAAATTTTTGAGTCACTTATGAATCTTATTATCCTGCTTTGTTACTAAATGCTACTTGTTAGCTCGACTATCGTTGGTACCCGTTTTCTGCATTTTGCCGATAAAATATCGTACACAAACGAATTCATTCACATACCATCAATTAAGCCCTCCCTAGTTAAAATTAACGGCGCAAACTCAACTGCATTCGTAGTTAAAATAATTTTGATCGCAGTACCATAATGAGGTAACAAGAGAAATTTAGACTTAATGCTAATTGCGAAATTTTACTTATTGCAGTTACTTGAATTCTTCAACAAAATATAATTACTTGTGATTAACAACGTCTTTGGAGAGAGCGTTCAATAGTATGGCATCATCCGTACTAGAAGAAGTATACCTATACGGACATGTAACATAATGTTTCATGGTGATCATGGAAACAAGCATTCTGAAACAATATGATATTCCATTTTATAATGACTGAACTCAACGAGTTTCAATCATCATCGATAAAAACAAAGCAACGTTTGTTCGAAGAAAGAATAAAGATATATAAGAATACACTCAAGATCAAAAAGACAAATTTTGTCAAATGGCGAATAAGCAAAATCATAGAGACATAAAACGAGAGTACAAGGAAAATTTGCTTATATAAAGAAGTACCTGACTGATTTCTGGTAAGCACAAACATTAGCATGCACCAGTGAGGGTATCAAAATACTCATATATTGACCACAGGCCTCACAATGCACCATATCTGAGGATACACAAACCCACCCGTGTGATGCGAACATTAGAGGTGACAATTTGTTTGGTTTCCCAGCCCATTTCACTGGCTGAAAATATGGCTAATAATAGCATATAAATTAAGCACGCCATGAAACGGGATTGTTACATGTCTTCTGTAATGACTTGCGTCACATAGCATAATATATCCATGAAAGAAATTTATGTTACAAGCAAGACAAAGTTTCGCCCTGAATTACTCCATCAGGGTTACTGATGTCCACTCCAAAGTAACTTACAAACAATTCTAGTCAGAGTTCATGTCCTTTTAAGTAAAACTGATCAGTTAACATACGGTGAAGGAGTTTAATCGCTTCTTGATACGCGCATCCAGCTGATCGCATGCTGACCGACATCTTCCATTCGTAGATAGTCTGAAAAAACAAAAGGCTCCAAAATAATCTCATGAACACCTTTGCTGTGGTAAAAGAACTATTTTTTTTCTTGTTCTTACATTTACTGCTTCGTAAAAACATATATTGCCATTAGCTGATGATCTCATATCACCATCTATCAGTAAGCATACCGCATCTTCAACAAACAGAAGCCCAAATCAGCTAGACATACCGGTGTTGATGAGCATGGGCTTGGTCATGAGCTTGTTGAAGAAGTTTCGAAGCACTATGTTTCAATCGAATGAACTCATCTCCCTCCTCCATATTCATCCTGGGCTACACTTCACCATTGATCCCTCAACCCCACACTCCGTTTATCAATAAAGCACCAATCACCAAGCAGTGAGAGAATCAACACTACCAACCGATACCAGAACAGGTAGAGGAGTAGTTGGTAAAGGTATCATGTTCAGATACTGTGTGAGTGCTCCTGAAATGAGGTCCGGCATTATCGCTTGTTTGTCGGTTGCTTAGTCTGGCGCAGAGAATTGGATTGGTTCGAAGATTGTGGACTAACGTTCAAACAATATGGTCTTAATCAGCATGACAAGGACTCCACTTCGAAATATTGAGAGCACCATTAAGCTTGAAAGGTTCATATCGGCATCATGTTCACTTCAAAAGAACACCGCTGGGAAGTATAGGGTATCTTTGTTATTTTGTTAAATAAGCAAATGATTCGAAAGATCAGAAACTTGCTAGGTTATCTAGATCTTTTACTGGACATTATCGCTTCTATTAAAAAGCAATCACTCATTGCTGTTCAGAAAGCCCTCACAAATGGTTATATTGCGTCAGTGAGTATGTCGAATGATTTAGATGACTCTGTTTCAGACGACAAGTGGACGAAAGCAGATGCTTACATACGAAATGGCTCACCGACCTCATCATATTGGAGTTAAAAAATCATGGTTAACATGGCATTCGCAAAATCTGGAAACGTTTCGACAGCGTCAACCTGTCGTGGTATGTTATGTTTTAAAGATGAGAGATCTGTCGGACTACTGATACCTTTCTGTAGATGCGAGAATTTGATTTATACCAGAAACATAGTCAAAAGAACACGGCAAATAGTGGTTACCGTAACCGATTTGAAATTAGTCGTTCCAAAATTCAAAACTGAAGATATTTCAGATAGCACAAGATGATATCATTTGTCGTTTCGTGCGCGGTTTTTTCCCAGACTACATAACCGTTGATGGAAGTGAAGTCGGTTTCATGCTTTTTTAGTGTTGTTCAGTTTTTGATTAGTTGCCACACAAAACTTATTGCCACATCAATATGCAGCTATTATTCCAAAAATTTGTAAAATTTTGCAGCTGGTTATCAAACGGCAAGGAAACTGTGTTCGTGTAGCAGGATTCTTCCATTACCGGAACAGACTGAATATACGTGAAATATACTGGATGTTTGGATTTACTGAAGAATTTCTTTCAATTCTGCTCAAACAACCGGTGAAGTTGGAGATTCAATTCGTAGCCGACGAAAAAGATTTAGCTTATAACTATATATGATTGTTATGCTTCTCCTTTGAAAATTATGTGCGATTGCTAATTATGTTCTTCTTTTCGAAAAAATTGTGGCTATGTTCATTGTCAAGAAAAGTATACTTCTAGATCATTATGCGGGGACAATTTTGCAAATTCAACAAACTTTCCGTGCCTCCTGTCTTTGACTGCTTCTGATGCTGGGAGAAACCATCCTGACGGTGCGACTCGCGAGCAACGAATTATTTGAGAATGCAATGATCCGTTGCTTACGAATCCCACAGTTTTCTCCGATACTCACTTTTGGAATAATTCGCTGCTCGCGAATGTCATAATTTCTTTCGATACTCACTTCTGAATTAGTTAGTCCCAAAGATCTTGGGTTTTATTCCAGCGCGCCAAACCTCCCATGTTAATTCACAAGAAATACTGCCCATGCTATGTATCAAAATGCTAACTTCATTAGCAAGTTTCCGCTTTGAAGATAAAATACGCACTAACGCCATCAGTGATCTTCGTAATTGAATAAATCTCCATATGCGAACGGAGTCTTTATAGATTATACATTTATCAAAAAAATTCACGAAGACCGGAACGAAAACAGCGTAGCTGTGATGGGCAGTTTATTCCCGAAGTTCACCTCATAACCTGCTCAGTAAACAATCTGTCCATAGATTATGATGCAAAGAAAGAAAAATAACAGCAATGCTGAAGACTTTAAATGATAAAACGCTCTGGAATACAAACTGTTTGGAGATAATATAGCCTGCTCGCTACATCATCCAAGCGGGACAGGAGCTGGAAGAGAAGTGTTACACATTACACACTGCCTGTAAGAATAAAACGATGCTTGATCTGAAGAGGTGGACAAATAATACAAGCACTTGAGCATATTAAATTTGATTTCTTTAATATTTTGCACAACAGAAACTATCACAGTACAGGAAATCACGAGTCTCTGCAAAAAAAAAAGAAAATAATTCCGATGACGAATCGACATGCCATACATATATCTAAACAGTGGCAAGAGATGGTCAGTAGATGGTCACAATTTCAATAACGAGAAAAAATGACGCGAAGCCGCGAATTATGACACTTTCAAAAAAAGCAATTTAAAACCTCGTTTGTTTCAAACAGCACTTTAAAAATAATTCGCTGCTGTGCATGGTATTTTCAAGACTTCGGTAAAGCACGGAAAATTCATGGAATTCGATAGAGAAAAGCAATTTGCAAAGAAAATTCTCCACAGAGATACAGATCATAAGCGATAGCTAAAATACGACCAGATTCATTTTATTTCATCGCTTGGAAGCGTATGAAAAACCGGGCGGAGGCATCATCCACTGCTGTGATGGATGAGAATAGGAATTTATGGATGGCGGTGGCGGAGCGGGTGACGCCATTGAGTTCAAGAGCTGTGCGGACATCGGCATCGTTTGATCATAATTTAGAGTTGACGAAAATTGATTGGTGGTGCGTTGCATTTCCATAGGTGATGTTCGACTAGATGGATAACCTGCAACATCTTTATGCAAGTTGGCTTTAAACCTAAAAAACCACTTTTCCTATATAGTGAATTCATTCACATGCAATGTTAATAAACAGTAAAAAAATCGCTTACATATGAAATCGAACCTAAAAAGTGTATCTGGTTCTATAAATGCAAAAGTGACAAACCTGCGGCACTAAGGTCGGGTACGAAGCGAACATTTACATTCGGTAACAGCGCCCGGAAACCTTCCTGCCATTCTTGAAGCTTCGTGCCATCAATTTGGTTTGCTGCAGCCAGAGAAATGTTTGAATGATACTGTGTGTTACTGCTGAAGGAAGGGCCTCGATGTGGTTGTGATGAATTGAAGGACAAATTAGTGGATGGATTTACGAAATTATTGACTCGAGCCATCTGGGGTTTTGAAGGTGGGAAATGCGGATGTGGCGAATACTGATTGGTGTGAAACACCGGTGACAGTTGTTGGTTGAATGTCTGGGCGGCTTGCGACGAAAGTTTTACTGGTTGTGAAAAACAATCGACATTAGCGAAATTGTTCGTCGCCGCTGTTGTTAAATCAAAGTCTGTCCCAAGCGCATTTCTCACCGACATCGGGGATGCACCATTCGAAATACCCATTGAAGGCCAACCACACTGCAGACCCAGTGACATCAATGACGATGACACAGATGTCATTCCACTAACGCTAAAAAAATTATCCAAATCGCAAGCCATCGGAAAAGACGGAATATACACTAACCATTTAAAAATAACGAGGGCTTGTAAAATGTTCATAGATGCAATTCATGATAAAGCAATTGGAGAAAACATGAAGGACAACAATCCTTACTGTTGTGTTGAGCATTGAGGTAAAATCGTTTTCTCTTCCTCCAGTAAATCTGCTAGACCTTTTGCTGACTCCGAAATAGGATCAAAGCCTGAAATTTCCTCATTTTGAATCCTACTTTACCTTACAAGCTTGATATTGAACTCATTTAGTAGTGATTTCTGGTACGTTTCTCCAAATCACCGCGTAAAATAGTCTTAAAATATTGATACAACATATAAAAGCATTCAAAAGAAAGATTTCCAAATAGTCAAGGATGTTCTTAGAAATAAAGTGAAAAAGTAACCTAAATCATCATCACTATGTGTGCTGAGACGTGTGCTTTTCGGCAACATTCTAGTCTGCGAGCTAGAAAATCCTGTAGGAAAATCAGTGATCACATTCCCCACTGTTAAACTGTCAACCTTGCCACAGATTCCTAGAGCACGTTGCCAATCACACGGTGCAGTGTCATTTGCCGACTGTGAACTATTGCTGTTCGGTAGCGCTTTTGCATTGCTCACATCCACTTTCTCCTAATTCAGTAATTTGTACTGATACGAAAACATTAGAAAAAAAACTATAGAAACTACTGATGAACTGAATGCCGAATGGAACCGTTAAACATCAGGAAAACTCCAAAATCCAACTTTAATGAAACTATGAAACTACTCCGTAAATTAAGGCAGCGCGATTAACAGAACCACAAGAATTGAACATTGTGCATCACATGGCCCTTGATGACGCTACCGTCAGGTACAGTCTTCCAAAGCCATTCCGGAAAAAGATTATAATACCAACCACCAACTATCAAATTCGCTTCATCTACCAACAGATTTTGTTATCAAAAGTGGTACTAATTATGAAGGTAACTAACGTTTAAGAACATTTTCTCGATTGAAGCACATGTAGTAGCAGCACGTGGCATGACACTCTGACTAGATGAAATCCATTCTGCCAACCGAGATCTAAATTGTTATGCATTCATTTCTTTCACGTATTTTATCTAACAGTTGAATTGATGCTTAACTTTTAAATTTTTACAATTCAGGTTTTAAAACTCTACTCTCGACCAACACAAAAAGCAAGACAATCTCAGATCATTCTTTAGAAAATTAAGAGTCAAGATATGTATCAAAATCCAACCGTTCTAAAGAGGATGTCATGAGAAATTCTCGATTATAGAAGATCTTATGTTAGCTATTTTTCAACCTATATAAACCTATATCTTTGATACCCAGCTTTTTAGCTGAAACGAAAAAAAAGAAGTTACAAAAAAGATAACGGCGGACGTAGATAGGAAAACTGGTTTCTCCTAACCAACGTCAGTTATTCCCAACCTTTGCTTCTCCTATACTTGATATGAAATCTGAAATACAGATGTTATCCATGAAAAAACAGATCTTAAATCCACTACACGCTATTTCTCCAGCACTGCTTCATAAAACTTACCTTGAAACATTCCCCTCAGTAACTTTTGTTGTGGGTATCACTGCTTGCTGTTCAAGCACCGCTGACGACGGTGCATCATTTGTTCTTCCCAAAGTTTTCTCAAGCTGATATCGAATCTAAAACTCAGCTCTGAGAAATGTTAACAGTTTAAGTTAAAAGAAGCAATAGAAAACCAAGTGATCATTTACAGCTTGGAACAAATAATATCGACCCCTGCTGCTTTGTCCTTTTATTAATGTTTTCTCCGAGAAAATAAGTGTGTGATCTCCGTAAAATTCAACTCAAAAAAGGACAAGAAGTAAGAGAAATATTTAAGCAACGTCACTGATAAAAATATGACAAGAAAATAATACTAACTTCGTTCTCTTTATCAGCACCTTTATTCTCACTAATCAGTTTACTATTCCTCACAGAACAAGGCTGATTTTCAAGTATTTCTCTGAAAAAAGAAACGAAATTACCATCAAGACTGCAGATTAACAATCATATTGTAGTTCAAAAAAATTTATTACATCTAAAAGCTCAATGGTAGGGACAAAATAAGTTCAAAAGAACAAGAGCCTTCTGAAACAGGCTTAGAATACCAACCTTGAAACCACTTTCTTAAATTTTTACAAGAGTTTTACTTCATATACACAAAAAATGGGCGTTGTTGAGACAGTAGAGGAATATCTTACGGGGAATGTAACGTACAGTTATGGGAAACAATTCTAACTAAAGCCCATTTCACAGATGTGTGAAGGCTATTAACTATTAGATCAGTCCGTCTTCGTGCAAGAGTAAATGCATTACTTACCCATTTATTTGATTTATAGGTATTTTCATATTTTTATCAGATGACGGTGATCTGCTCTGAGAGATTTGTCCTTTGTCTTGACAATTTTTCATCGGTATTGAACGAAACTCTGGTTTACGTTCTGTGTTTTCGTTTCTAAAATAAAAAATACACAAAAAGAAATTATAAGTGAATTCAGGAGACAATAGAAGTGAAATATAAATAAATGAAATCACCTAAATGAGCAACTAAGAAAAAGATTTCACTGATCTTCAAGGTCCTCACTTCTATAATCTCATTTGCTGCACGCTTACCTATACATAATTGATAAAAAAAGATAATAGCTCTTTACAACGCACGCCAGAATCCAATGAAAATATAAAACTTGTCATAAGGCTATAGTTAACATTGCTCATGGAACAATTTCCGGATTACGTAAACAAAGAAGTATGTGGTACAAGCATATATATTTACTTTGATGTCTTCTCACTCGTATTTATCATAAATGAAGTCCTCTCGCGTTGACTTTTCTCTCTGAGAGTTGATTCAATCAATCGCTTTTCATATTCCGCGTGCCGTCCGAGATGCATATCATCTTTGGTAAAACTAACTTCTGTATCCGCCACATCATGCAAATACATACATTCCTACAACAAAACATAAATTTTCACTGCTAAAATCAATAAATTTTTTACAATCTTCTCGGAAATCAGTTTTTTTTGCACTTCGATTCCGTATAGGATATGATGAGAAGTAGCACTGACAGAAATTTCGAAAAATCAGAACACGCCAGACAAGTTATATGACTACAAAACAAACAGACCGGTTTATAACATGGCTGACTACGAAGGAAATTTGTACAATATTTTGTTGTCCCAAGTGATGCCTTCACGACACGTCCATCTAACTGTGCATTATTAACAGCCTACAATAAAACTGTGCAAAAAAATTTATGAATTTACGTTAAAATCATAAGGATTTAAAGGATTTAAAGCCTTTCATGATACTCCCTTTCCAAAAGGCCTTACGTAAGCGGTGTGAGACTTATAAGTTACGAAATACAGTTACGAAAACTTCACATAATAAATTCTAAAACGAAATACAAGCAAGCAATATCCAAAACGCAAACCTGTATAGCTCTAAGTGCGTCTTCATATCTCGCATAAGTTACATAAGCTGTGAATGATGCCGACTGTGGACCGCTCAGTGATGGTGAAGATCCCACAGCAACCTACAGCAAGGTGCTATTATGCACATAACCACCAAGGTTCCTTTACTCCTTTATAATCTTTTTTCAGTGATATGAAACAACACCTGCGGGACTGACCTTCAATATGCGGCCATATTTTCCAAAATATTCAGGTTTCTTTAAAGTTTCTGGATCTGCAACTCTAGCCGACAAACCCACTACATACACAAGATTCTTTTGTAACACCCTGAAAAGGGCAACGCTGATACGACTATTTAACTCCACGTATTTGAAAAGGTACTTTTCGTGAGTCTTTAGGCTTTTGTGAAAACTTTCGCCATAAAAAATAAAACCTGTATGAGGAAAGATGCTTCCTAGATTCGCATATCTTGATTTTTTGCAGTTGCTGTTTTTGCCGTTTTTCTGTTTTCATCTTCTGAACATCTGAAGCAGTTAGAGGTTTAAAGTTGACAGGATCTTCCGGGTACGGTTGTCTACATGCTGGGCATAATCCATTCTCATCAGTTCGCAATCGATGCCAACAAAATCTACATATCTGAAATTAAAATTGTTGGATCATCCTGTCAACAATGTCTCGCTGTAATAGCGCCATTATGTGCAAGATATGGTAGTAAATGAACGTAATATGGCAAAATAAAGTAATGTAATATTGCAGTATCAAACTAGCCATCTACTTGATGAAGACTGTTCAAAAAACATTCTTTTTTCGGAGTTAGCACACTAGTACATTTGAAAAACAAAATTAGAATTTGATATGATTTTGATAATATAAAAGAACTTTATTTCTACTTGATATTCACATTTGCACGGATAGAAATTGATATCATCGATTTCGAGTGCTTCCATGCACAAAGGACACTGAAAAAGGTTAGAGTTACGGTCATTGCACGCAAGATATACTAAGAATGCCCGTGAATCAGGAGAGAGGAATGAGTCGACATTTTCCGATGTTCGATGATTAACGCTGACCAATTATGAGAATACTTCAGATTAGTATGGATAAACAAACACAATGTTTTTGGGTGACACTGAACAATTAATGTGTGCAGTGCCACAATTAATTCATCTAAAGAGGATTAAATAATCATTCACGTGTTTTTATGTAAGGAGGTCTCTGGACTACAGGAATCCAAGATTTCAGCTGATCGAATCCTCATCACAATATTGCGATCAAGAAACGGAAACGAAAAAGCAAATACCTCTTTATCGGACTGTTCATCACTAGACATCGTTCCCCACCTTGTTTAATAATAACGCACCTCGAAAAACTACAAAGAACTTGTGTGCTCAATTTAAACCACATTTAACATGACAGCTTTTATGTGGCTGTCACACAAAATACTCGCAATGACAAATATTTTCCCACAAAAATGATGCCTTCCAATCAGAAAATCGATTTCCCGAGAGCATTTTTCTTCTTAAACAACTTAAGCGGGATGTAAACAATGTCCTATAGTTTACGTACAACGGAAAAAATGTACTGGACTGAAAAAAAATTAATGTGCCCCTGGAGCTAATCCTCTCAGCCTTTTCCGGATTGCAAGATCTTCGGCCGAATCATGAATCAGAAGTTTATAATGTCGAACTCAGGGATACCCGAAGAAATGTTCAGAACTAGATCGAGATCTCCCGATCCAGTCAATGTTGAGTCGAGATTTTGTTCCCTCCGAGCATGGTGAAATGAGCAAATGCTTTCCAGAGAGCGAGAACTTCCTCCTCACCCTACATTCCCGCCTCCACCAATAACGGGAGAAAACAGTACTAACGGCCACTCTTACCTTCTTCCAAGTGTCTGGCACCAATCAATTACAATATTTCATCTCCAATCAGCCTTTTCCGCTGTGAAACTTTATGTCTCGCTGTTTTGAGGAACGATTCAAAGGCTGGCAGAAGGGTAGCTGGTATATGGTTTTCCCGTTCCTAAAATGTTCTTGTTAAATATTACTGCAGTTTCTCAGAAACTTTGCTTACAGTAACGGGTTCAGTCTTTATTTCTTTTAGCTAAGTAAAACGATTATAGGCCTCCTCAAAACTATCGACTGTGGTGGAACTTATTAACTTTTTTTCTCTTTCCACGTAAAAGGATGTTCTTCCTGCTTCTTTCATTGCATTCGGTAGACTTTTGTGTTTTGCTTTTCATCTCTGACATTTTAGGTGTATTAATTCGAAGGAGCAGCGTTCGTAGATTTTGTGGTACTTGTTATTGATTATGGTTTCTATTGCCTCATTGGCTAATGCTGCACAGCATCGCGTGGTGAATTGTTTTAAATAACTTTAGCTTTATGGTTGTCATAATAAATTGTTGTCGTTTGTCTCTTTCTGTGGACAAGTTAGTGCTTGTGGAATGATTTAACTGGCGGTACTTGATGCCCTTATTAAAGTCCAGTTTTATGCTTATTATAAATGGTATGCGATTGATTCGTCCCCGGAAGATCTCTGTGTTAAATGAGCGAATTAATGGATTTATAATTTGTCGATTTGCAGATTTTCGAGCACATAGAAAAATTGAAGAGTGATTGCAATGGTTGGAAGAACTGCATCGAAAAGATCATTAACGGCTGGTGCGGATGCTTGTTTAAAAAAAGTTTTTTTTATGAGATCATTTTGATTTCGCATTTTTTTTTCGTATAAAAGTGGTGGCGGTGTGATTTTTCAAAAGAAGTACCATGAAAGAAACAATTTTCAGCGATCCGGAGGAGCACTTCGTGCTTCTACAGGTGATTGAAACATATTTGACAGCGCGCTATGCGGATAATGATCAGGATCAGATTATTATTCGAAAATGGATGCGTGCCTGGTTGCAGCACTTGTAAGTTCAGCATTTGATGCCCTGTTTTCTAATTTTTTTTAAATTACACATTTTTATTCCAGAAGTTCACCTGAGAATCAGCCATCGTATTTAGTAAACAAAATGGCACATCTCTTTGCTTTGGTTTTTGCTGCCGATTTTCCAAGGCGTTGGCCTAATTTCATGGAAGAGGCAAGTTTCTTTTACATCTGCGCCGTAGTTTAAAATAGAAATCATCAACACATATTCGAAGTTTTATTTGTAAATCAAAATAAAAGACCACTGCTACTCACTGTTCTCTTTACTCTAGGTGTTTTTCCAACAAATGACATCATCAGCTGAAATAACTGTCTTTTTCCTGCGCACTTTGATTGCCATCGATCATGAGGTAGTTGATCGAGAGATTCGGCGCACCCAGCAGGTATTGCAATTTTGAAGGAAGGAGATGTTTATCATTCTATTTGAAAAGTCGTTGTACCTACTCGGAATATTTTTGTTGTCATTGGAAATAGAGTTTATTCACCATAATCAATATGAACTAAAAAAAATAATAATGCAAAAAAAAAAAAAAAAAAAAAAAAAACTAAATAAAAGATCTCCGTAATATTAAAATATAATCTGCGCTTTTTTCTGATTAAGTGAACTCACGTAAACGTAGAAAACTGAAATTTCCTCGTAAGAGAAATGCTGCTGAGAATGGCCCATTTGATACATTTTGATTTTTCTGATCGGCTACTAAGTTGGGACTGTAGTACGGAACTTTTTCATGTTTTATAAACTCATTAAAAAGCAATGTAAGTTAAGAAGGAGACAGTTATACTATGACTTTAATTCGAAGAGATTTATATTAAAGAAAGTAGTTTGCGGATACTCTTACAAAAGTTTGGAAAAAGTGCTTAAAAATTTTGCTCAGCTCTGGTTTTTTATTGCGCAAGAAGTAAACTTACTTTACTTAAATAAAGTGTACACAAGTAATTATTGATAAATTTGTCTTGATAGCAACTGGTTGTTAACATCAAAGAGGAACTTTGATGTTGTTTTTTTACTATTGCTTATATAAATTTTCGTTTTTTATTTTTTTAATTTTTCTAACAGGTAATTGAGAGAAATATGCGGATAAAGGATGCTATGCGCGACAACTGCAATTATAGCCTGGCACTAATATGGACTCAAATACTAGTCAGTTTAACAAGTTGTAGTGGTTGATATAGTTCGAAGCTTTTTGTCAACTATTCTGCAATTCATTTTGTTGCAGAATTTCGCATTCTGTAAGACCACTAAATGCAGTCGTTAGATTCAAGATATCAGTACTCAGATTGCATACCATTTTAAAACTTCCTTCCATATTTCTAGGCGGAAAGCAATGATTTGAAGACTCGAGGACTTTGTTTAGATGTCATTGCTTGTTACATTGACTGGATTGATTTGGAACTTGTTGTCAACAATACTACCACCCCATTTATTATTGGTAACTATTTAAATTTTTTGAACTTTTTAAATATTCGTGTTTTATATCAAATGGGTAGATTTATCAAGGTGATCTTTAGATTGTCTAAAAAATGAATATACATGTGAATCAGCGATATCAGCTATTAGTGCAATGGTTACGAAAGGCATGGATGCTGAAAAGAAGCTTTTGCTTACTGCGTCGTTGTGTACTGTTTTGCATGAAAACGGATCATTTGATTTGAAAGTAAGCATTTCCATCAAATTTTAATCTCTCACACTAGTTGAAAAATAGAACCTAAATTTTCTGAGAAATAGTTTCTATTGTTCTTTTACATGGATGAATTTCAATAAAATATCTGCAGGAAAATAATGTGGATGATGTTTTGAGAACTGGAGCTCTCATAAGCTCATTAGGCTCCGCTTTGATCGACTGCCATATATGGTACTTTTTTGATTTTCCTATCAATGTGGCACTGCATAGCACACTTAGCTAAATTCAGCCAGTGATATCCTGTAATCTTAAGATGAAATGTAATAGTTTGATGGTGTAGAACTTCATTTCTTATCTCAGTATACTTTGATGTAAGTTTCAAAACACTAAAAATTTTTTTGTGCCCCAAGCAATATTCACAATATTCTCAAGCTACAAAGGAAAGGAAAATCCGTACACAGCAAATTAAAATCAACTAAACACTCTTTCTATATAAAACAATTTGCAGCTTTTCAAAAGTTAATGACATGGAAAAATCTGTGCAGTGTGAAGTGCTTCTCGAAGAACAAGCTGATATCGCTTTGTTATGCTTTTCTAATGAGGTTTTTTTATAATTATTCGTTGTTCAAATTTTTTATTTCAGCTGAAGTGCTTTTTATTCAAAATTGCGAAGTTTCAGGATATGGACGCTTCTGAAACTGTTATTGAATTTCTGCGGCGTTATGTTTGTGTTCTTAAAGCTCAGGAATTTGAGAAGCGTTACAATTTTACTAATCGAATGATCTGCGTAGCCATAGATAGGTTAACTTTTTTGTTTTCAAGCCACAAAAAAATTTAGTTAGGTAGTTATGAGATTTATGCTGGAAATTTGTTGATGTCATTTCGCTTTAGGAATACATGATACATATTTCACACCACATTATTTATTTATTTATCCAAAAAGATGCTTGCTTTCGCATGCTGACATTCTAATCAGTTAAAATAAGATTCTGATATTCTTAACTCAACTTCTTTCAATATCATGAATTTTTGTTTTGTTTAGATACAAAGCGGCAGGTGGTGTTGATTTGAGTAATACGGATGGTGAGGTTGTGGCTGAATTTATGGCATATAGAAGGCAACTTCGAAATATGTTGTCAGCAATTGGAAATTTCGTACGTTATTTCCTTATAATGTTAAGTTTGAGCTAAGTAACTAATCGAGATTTGAAAGAGGGAAAAAAGGGTTAAAGTGATGAAAACTGATGTGGACGCGTAAAACAACTGCGAGCAGTTACCAAAAATTTTGACCAAGAACAGTTTAATTGCATTTGGTAACTTAAAATAAAATAAATCCTAGATCATTAAACGAATCACTAACTTTAGATTCACTACATTCAGTAGATAATTGCAATAAGTACCGTTTTTTTCTATTCTTAATCGCTGGATATTCTTAATTATTTAATTTCTCTAGCGCCAAAGTTCAGGAACCGGAGCCGATATTGATGAAACTGGAGCCATTGGTGCGAAATGCATGTGAAAACTGGAAGCAGTGCCACATGAATGCTATTGAAGCTACCTTGGCACTGGTATATGATCTTACCGATTTCATACATGTATGTTATTTCGCATGCATTGAAAAATTCGAGGTTTAGTTTTGAATATCCAGAATTATATCCAAATAGAGAAGACCTCGTACTTTTAAGATTGGAAACTTTTGCGTTGTGTTTTTTTGTTATAAGTTCCTGCATGATTTGATCCGAACGTTTTATTTTGCATTTCGATAAGTTATATTAGATGGCGGACATTTCTTTTTACTCATAACAATGTGAAGGCACATATTAGAAGGATTACTGCAAACAAAATGGAACTTGCATAAGTCAAATGAATATGAATCGCGTGAAATAAAATATGCCTTTTACAGAAAAGTTTTTTTCAGACAAATATCGGAAGTAATAATAGTTTGATCTCTGAGCGTGCTAAAAAATTGGTGATACAGGTTCGACATGATTCATTTTATTTAGAGATTAACTTTATTTTAATATAAAATCCGGAAGTACAGTGAAATGTTTTTATATATTATTCTCTCCCGAACTGTCCAAACATTTACATGTTTCATTTAGATTCTGCAAAGCACAATAAATCATTGTGGATTACCTTATATTAATACATTATTCTTCGAAATTGCTTGTCGTTATGAAAGGATCCTGCAAAGTAGTACCAGTCCACTGCCGATGATATTGGTTTGGATTTCAAATTTCAGCCTTAGAAATATTTCAGCAATGAGTAGTCGTTGTTTAATATATGACTCAAATAGTGGCTGTTTTTCAACTGCTTGGATATCTACATAGGTTTTCTGCAGTCTTATCCCAGTTCGCATAGATATTAGTGTATGTGTAGACAGTCATTTCTTTATCTTCTTTTCAGGAAGCTTTCCTGGATACACATGGTCTTCGTCAGACCTCGTTGCAATCAAGAAGTCGCATCATCTACTTATTTTGTCGATTTGTAAAAGCACACAAGTAAGCAAAATTTTATAAATAGTTCCTTTGAATCACTTTCTCATTAAAAGGTATTTTCAGGCTTTTCTTAGGTAACCAAGCTGAAAATATTCTTGCACAGTTGGAGTCATTTTTTACAGTATCATCGGAAGAAGATTATCAACTCTCGAAAGAAGACCAGGTTCTTTTTCGTTTTCCAAGGCTTCTCTCTATACTATCACCTATACTATGGGAATGTTCATAATTTTTGCTCCATATGTGTCGTTCTTTGTTTTAGGCTTCCAATTTTAATGGGTAAACTGTTTCATTTAGTCAACTTACTATTAAGCTAGCTGTTTCAAACATGTCGAGAATTATTAATTGCTTCCGACTCTCAGATATTTAAATATTTATTGTCCACCAGTTTTTGTGTCTAAATTGTTTGAAGCGTCTAGAATCACTGGGCTGTTGGTTTTGATCGGATTTTAGATGTACCTGTATGAATCTACGTCAGTGCTAATTGTTCACAACAATCTACCCATTGAAAGGAAACAAGAATACATCAAAGTTCTCGCTTTATCATTGCTTCAAAAATTCGCACGCATAACGGAAAGGTTATCACGAACAAAGAATGTGGAAGAAATAAAACAGCTTCATCAGCTATATGCTGATGTTATTAGCTATGGCGCGTGAGTTTTTGATTTAAGATTGGTCGAGGAAGGTGTTGTTTTTTACATATATCAAAGAATTAACTATATTTTCAGAGATTATTCATCTTTTCAGGCATGTTGCTAAAGCGTTTACAAATAACTACACCATGCAATGCTGTCAGTGCACTACCATTTTTATTGAATTGATGGAAGTACGTTCTTCATTTGCTTGTCTTGCATCTCAGTACTATCTAGGCTTCTTTACGAAATCCGTTTTTTACTGATGCTTAATAGATAGAGAAAAGTCCATTGTGAAATGGAAACTTGATTTTTGAAACTATATTGTGTTTCTTCAACTGGCTGTCAACATTCCTGATTATCGAAACAGTAATAATTCGATACAATTCGTAGGTTTTTCTGGATAAGATAACTCCAGATAATGTGGAAGGATTGGACGCACTGCGGCAGTATCTTCATCGGATGGTCACTTGTCTTGATGGCGAAATACTATCTATGTTACCAGCCATTTGCGACAAGTATCTTGATGTCGGTTCAGACCTTAAAGTGGTGCATGACTTCCTTATTTTATTGCAGCAAATTTTCGGCAAGTTCAAGGTGTGTTACAATGGACTTCATTGTATTTCTGCTTCATTCTGAACCAAGCATCGGTTTTCCCTTTCTTAGCCGACCACTCGCTACTATCACCACATGAAGTAGTTCTGCTCTAGAAGGCTTCTATCAAGAGGATAACAAACTTTTTCTATCATTTTAGAAACGTCTTTTGGGAATTGGCTTGAATATTCCCGCTTTATTTGATATTTTGTGGAGTGCACAAAGAATATCATTCGATACATCTAACGAGAGCCGTATTAGGGACATGATATATTACAACCGAGCTTTTCTGCAAACAATCTTGAGCATCTTGACACACGACCTAGTTATTATGTTGACAGACTGTGGTAAGCAATCTTAAAAATTCATTACATTCAGTTTCTTCTTAATTCATTTCCAGATTTTGTCTTGCTTGACCGAAGATAGCTACGAAATCTTCTCATAATTTTTAATTTGAAGGCACCGAATTTCTCCACAAAGTAGCAGACTCACTTGTTTCTTTCATGAGCTTAAATGATGTACCTACGCAACGGATTACATTTCAAATTATTAACAAACTATTTCTAAAGCTGTCGAACAATGGGTCAGCAGCTGCTTTCATCGAGTTTCTATGGGAAAAGGCGATTTGTGGCGCACTTCAGGTAGTTTTCTCACATATATGTATAAAAGATTATTTTGGAGTATTTAATGAGTCTTAATTGGATTCTAACTCTCGAAATTATTCTAGTGGGGCAGTTTTCCCAAACGCATCTGCAGTTCTCTGCTTCAAAATATAAACATGACCTACTCAGGATATTTGCAGACTCCTCTCAATGAATATCATGACCTTACAGACGCCCAGTGTGTTTTGCTACAGCACGAAATCTATGTATGTTTACAAAGTCTACGATCTTATTCTTTGGAAAGGTGAGACGACCTATTGGTTTTACTGCTTTGATTTAAAATTAAAACATCCGAAGCTTGACACTGTTATAATCACGGAGCCATTTTTGCAGGTTTGACCAGTATTTACAGTTGCTTCTTCCTGCAGACTTTGCCCGAAACTTTTGTCAATGTATATCTGGTTATAAGGTATTTTTTTTTTGCAGGACTCAAAATAGTATAGCTTCAGTATAAATTTGAACACACTTGTTATAAGCTGGGAAAAATTATAGGGTAAACAATTGGAAAAGGCTTTGGATATGCAATATGATCAACTGAGACTAATGAAAGCGGATGGTATTGCACCGTGAAGTAGGAAACAAATCAATTTTTAAAATAATTTTACCAAATGCATATGTTGTTTTATGGAGCAAAATCAGATCAAAGTGTTTATTTATTGAAATTATCTTGCAAAAGACGAAAAGGCTTTCTGGAATCTGATACGTGAATCGTTGTCCCGTTAATTCTTTGCTGATCATCCCTAAATATCATTTTTTCTCCCATATATTTCTGCAAAAAATGCATATTACCAAAGTAAAAATTTGAACGTACTTACCGTAAGAAACGTTCAATAGACAATTGCGGAGAAACGAAAATTAGGACAACGTCGTCCCCACGTATCAGAGAAAATGGTAGGTGACGTCGCCATTGTGTTTTTGTTTTGCCTTCCCTGTCCTCGCACTGGCTTTCAAAATACTGGTGTGGCGCTGTTATCTGCATACTTTTGGTGACTCGATGCTTCATCCTTATTGGTGGCTTGAAATTCTCATCACCGTCTCTATATTACTTTGTTGATTTATATGCTTGTGAATCACTGAGTGCTCACTAATCTTTTATCTACTACAAATATATAACGTTGGATTAAAGTTTTGATTCATATTTAATTCTTAGACAGAAACCACATTTCTGTATTCAAGTAAGCACAGTTCTATCTGGAATCATATTAAGTGGACAGTATGTGTCATGACAACATGAAAGGTTTCACCTCGTGGTTTATGATCATTTCGGAACCTTTTAAGGTAGCAATAGCTCGGCGTACAACCGTATATCAAAAATCCGAGATCAAATTTGGGTAGCGGGTTACGGCTGTATGGGAAGCCAGCAAGGGGTTTTCGGCGAGTCACGCCAGTGTATAACAAACCTTATCAACAGATTCCAGTGCTTATCAAATGCAACAACTTTTGCCTGGATAGAAGAGTTCACGCGATTCCGCCCCCGCAAACTAATGCATACTGGATGTCCCTGTTCCACGCACTCTTCTAAACGTTTCATTGGTCCCTTCTGATCTGTTTGAGATAAATTACCATTCCATCTCTATAAATAGCCAAGTTACAAATATTAAAGTTTGAAAGCTATAAAATTAATTCCGATATGAATAAAAGACGTCACCTTATTGAGGCTTCCCATTAACTCCTGAACAGGTTCAGTTAAGTCTCTCCCTTTTTGTGCACACATTTGTGATAGCCGAGCTTCCCTGAAATAAGTTTTACATCGTATAATAAGAAAATAAACACAACAAAAGTTCGAGGAGGCAGCAACAAAATGAATGTGAAAGAGACAATGCTTAGCTTTTATATATGATAGTCATGATTTCATTCGACAAGCGCACCACACACTTCTAGTTGAAAAGCTCTTGTAAATTAGAAAATTTAGTTCGACTGATGATCAATAATGGTAGAGAATAAGAATAAAATACTAGAGAATAATCATGAGGAGACCTCATATATATATTTGTAATACTTGAACCTTAAACTTTCGAAAACCTTCCTCTTAACAACTAACTGTACGTTCTCACTGTATTTAAAATGCTAAAATGAAAATACTAATTGTTAGTATTAAACTTCGTCATTTCCTCCAAAACAGGCATATATTAAAACAGCTACTGAGAAAAGATGACTGAATAAATACAAATCATCTGAGGATGAAATTCGCTCGGATATCATACCAATCCGACATGCACTAATCACCAATGCAGCGCAAACCATCTAAGGTTGAAATTCACTCGGATATCATACCAAGTATAGTGAGACATAAGGTAATTTTTTACCGTTCAAGAGTTGTTGTGTGAACCTTCTCGAATTAAAAGAAAAATTTATCACTACAAGAGGGGTTTTTTTAAATGTTAATAACATTTCCATACCTAAATAGTTTTAAATATCCAACGCCCCTGATGAGCACTCCAAATTCCGATTTCAGCTTTTGCATCTAAATTTTTAAAACTCCCAGCACCCCTCCAAGTTTATATAATTTACCTGGACAATCCATTTAATGATTTCTTCTCTATATCTTCCCGAAGTTCCAGCTTTTGCAACTGTGTGACAAGTGCAATATTCGTGTTCCATAAGTGTTGTTCAAACTCATCAACTGATTCAAAATTTTTGGATTCATCGAAGGACGGTCTGGGATCATTTAAAACCATTTCAGCATTAAAACTCGAAGAAAAGAAATTCATACCGGTTGTCATCCTACAATAGTACAGCAAGAAAACAAACGACTTACTTCCACACTAACAAATTCATAGTTGAAAAAGAAGCTGTGTGAAAGGAAAAAGGTCCCACTGAAGTGATGCTCCGATAAGGAAGAAACCCCTAGGCTTAAATATTTCGAAAATTCTAGACCAAACCCAGATCTAACAACTGCCTTTCTCCTTCACATTTCTGCAATTCTTATCCACAAAAGCTAGAATGAAGACAGTGACAGACTTAAAACAGTAGTTGCCCGCCACGGAAATCATTGGGAAATACCTCCAAGACTAAACTAACACGCCGATACCAGACACATTTGTGTTCACCACTGAATACAAACTGCTAGTCGCTTCAAATTTGCTTGACCATCCTCGTTAGTTGCAAAAACCACTGCAACAAATTTGATGTAGACCTGCTGAACAGAACGACACCGGTAATAAGCAAGTGACCCACGAATCTTGTAAATTTGCCAAATCCACAACTCCCTAATGACTTCATTAACCATCCAACTGCTAACAAACCCGATCCATCACCTACGACACGCACAGAATTTGTTTCCCATCGATACCACGCTGTCTAGAGAGTTCATCATTTTCCATATTAAAAGAACCAATGTAAACAGTGTGAAAATTTTTGAACAACATCTTAAAAGTTCAGTTCTCTGACTTGAATAATCGTAATACTCTCACATATACTGCGGAATGCTTTATACTCCATATCTACATGTTATTTCTGCATAGGACATTACTTAAACACACAGCATGATATTAAAAATATACACTTTTTCCTTCTCGAAAGAAAACTAAAACGAGATAAAGAACAAGTTGAAAGATGGACAAAATGGCCTAATTAGATCAGTTTGAGATTAGAATACTGTGTATGTGCTTGTGGGTGTGTATAGGGCTCAGCAAAATGAAAAAAAAAAAATGATACGACGCGTACACTGTTCGGACCTGTACAGAAATATTGTACAATCTGTAGGAAGGAACTTTTGACAATAAAATTTAGAATTGAAAGAATCAACCAATAATTCTATCCAGTTTTTGTTATGGCAATATAATGCCAAACAAAATAAGACAATTTACATACATATCCATACGACACATAACATTTGTAAAACAATGTTATAGTAGCACATTTAAAAAAGTTACAGAGAAAAGCACCGCAAAGAAACATGAAAAGAAAGGGGAAGGATGAAAGGAGGAAAAAGGTCAGCAGTAAGGAGAATCAGACATTCAATGAATAAAACAACTCATTTTAGGAAGACTGCAAAGAATCGAACTACAGTATGATGTAAGAAAGCGCATAGATTGAATGGAATAAGACTTTCAAAAAGATTACAGATTTGTGTTCTTTAAGAACAAAGTTAAAAATAAAAAACGAAACGAATATATTGAAATTCTGATCATGTCGAAAATCATGAAATTATTTTCGATGAGTTGGATCTGTTATCTACACTTGGAGTGTGAGGTAAATTACTTTAGATCAGAACAGATCAACAATATTCAAAGAAATCAACTTAAGATAAACTAACCAAAACTGTTCATCTTCGTAGTAGCTATTCACTGTAACAGAGGCACCACCACAAACGCAGCAGAAAGACATGAAACCCGCGCTCAAATGAACATACACACAACAGGAAGCGACTATGCATTTTTATTTTATAATTTCGTGACAGTAAAAGGTTTTCTTTTCAATTTTTAGCCTTATTAGCGAATTTCAATCTGAGAGACTAACTCAAAATATTAAAAGAATCAATTAATTCGAAGGCATGATGAAATTTTCAACAACTCCTTAAATAAATGCATCCCAAAATTTCATTGGCTTGATAAGAAAAAACTAAAGAAATGTCGCCCCATGTAAAAATGAAAAGTAAAGATGCATGAAAAAAGACCAAAAACCTTAACTCTAATTCGGTTTACTGATGCTGATTGTGGTTTTCAAACTGCGCGGGTGACTGGCAGCAGATGCAAGCCATGTCATATGTGAAGGAGTAGTATCGCTGGAGTCGATTGCTGAGCGATTTTTCACATCCATACTAAAAAACCACGGATCACTCGGAAGAAGCCGATCCAAAACCGGCGTCACCAATGGTGCAGTACCAACCAGCCGAGAAATTGCATCAGCTTGACACACTACAGGATTTTTTGTGCCCCAGTCATTTAAACGACTGATGACGCTATCAGCTTGTGCACGCAACTGCTCACCTTCTTCCTCGTCCGATAATTCTGAAAAACTATCTGACTGATCTTATTAGCACTGGATAAATTCTAGAAATACAATACAAATACCCACGACGACCAATCAACCCTCTTGCTATTACGTAACGCATTTTCAAAGATCTTTTGCATATCTGTAACATCTTGTCAAAGCTTTTTTAACAGTGAAACTATAATAATATTTCTAAGCCCTTCAAGATAAGGGTAATCCGACATCAAAATCCTAGCAGGCTACGTGATCCAATTCTTTGTCAAATCGCAAGAAAAAAAATGTACATATATCGAAGAGTAAAAGAAATAATTCAGAACTGTTCTTAGAAACTCACAGCTCGAAAGGCTGAGGTTGCACTATTTTTGGTGTGCTTCTACAATGGGGACGTCTACAACCAAAACCTGCGTTGAGATTTTGCAATTACTAAATATGCATAACTAATAATAAATTATATATTAGATTCTTCCTAACAATGGTAGTAGTTTGTTGACCAAAACAAATATGGTTTGAACAAGACAAAACTTACAAACATTCCAAACAGACGACTACTATTACTGTATACAGAAGTTGCTTATATCACCACTACCTTTTAGTTTGCAGCAGCTGTGTACAACAAATCAGAGAACAACAAGATGGAACTACAGAACTCAGATGAAAAAGAGTCTTAGGAAAACAAACCTGGGCAAATCAAAAACGATTTTATTCAAAAAAGGGTAAATTACCTGAATTAGGTGAGAATTGTGCATTAGAGCTGACAGTCGCTGAGATCGAATTTCCGGGATTACAAGATGTATACGAATTCTTAATCACAGATTTCGGAATAATAATAGTCATTTTGCGGTTGTGATCAACTCCTGCCGTTCGCTTGCGTCGGTTAAGTCGGTCAACATCGTTACTTCCAAACCTCATTTTTAACCTATTCATCTCATGCGGTGCACTTTTTGATACATGGTTCACTATTGGCTGTTCTGAATCAACCACATGCTCTTCTCCATTTCGACCGAGCCTAATTTTCAACTTTGGAACTTTCAGAGGGGGTTCCCGTTCTTCATCAATTTCACCTTAAATTTATACAATACGGAACAGAAATCCAATCAAAACTGATAAAAAATCTATTGAAACATTACAAAGGCCAAAAATACAGAAAAGTGGTGATTACTTTTTGGTGTTATATGCAGAGATATATGGTTCGTTCGCGGATCCGTTACTGACACAATATTATTTTTACGCGTTATACGCATAAGAATGCGTGGATGAGATGTGTCATCACGATGACAGGCAGTATCTTCCGATTTCGTATCCTCCAATCCCGAATAACTTGGCAATAAACCATTTGCCTGAATACAAAGTTTTTAGTACCTAAGTTACCGCAAAGTCAATTTCAACAATAGCTGATAACCAGCGTCGCTTGGCTAATGAATGCTCGAATCATTTTCTATATAGCCCTTGATCGTATTTTTGGTAAAAAAATTAAACAACAAGAATGTTTTAATGCTAAAATTCTTCTCTTTCCAAGAAGAACACTACTTGTGAATATTTAGTGATATTTATTAGTGTTAATAATAAATGTATTCCAGAACATATGGACTTAAAACGGAAAAGCAAAGATACAAACCTCTTTACTGCAAGTCTCCATGGGATCACAGTGCTTCCTCTTCTTCTTTTTCTTCTTCTTTCCCTTATTTTTCTTACTATTGCTTTTGTTCAAACAATTTTTCAAACTGGCATCAGTTAATGCGATTTTTATTCGAATTGGCGGCCTTTCAGGCCTTTCCGCCTAAAATTAATTTAGATTCGAGGCTTTCCACAAAAATACCATTCGTTTCAATTGTGAATTTTTGAATGGTATAGTCTGAGTATTTTACTCCAAATAATTCTTAACCAGACGACAAGAGTTTGCTAAGTATCCCGATTTAAACAATTTAATCCTCATAAAATTCAAAGAGTTCTCTGAACATAAACTGACCTCTCCTTTATGTTCCAAAATTTGAGAAATATCATTGTCGCAGCTCGCTACTTCCATCTCGTTAATTTTACTGCTATCTTCCATCGGGACACAGTTCTCAATGCCTTCATTTTCTTCCGCAGTAGTGGGTGATGAAATTCTGTCCAGCGTAGCTGCATGTGTTAAAGCAATGACAGCCTCCAGTTGTTCAGTTGATTTAATAGAAGGCACCGTATTTTTTACAACGAACATTTGTTCAGATAGATCAGCAGTGACTGGTGAATACAATTCCTGATATGAGCTTACTGAGTCACTTTTCCTCCATGAAGTGCAACAAGTAACTGTAGCGGGTAAATCGAGTGACGGATTTGAATCAATCCAATCACTTGTAACCAAATTTTTCTGGAAATGTATAGATCACTATTTACCTTCTAAATCCAAAACAATTTGCAATAACAAAAATTTCCTAAAGTCAACGAATTTCTTGACAGTAAATTGGATAATAGTCGTATGACTTCATTTTTCACTAGTTGAAAATTAACCTCTCCATTTGTTTTGGTAACATTCTCCTTTGTATCGGGATCATTTACATCTTCTGTATCAGTTATTTCTGTAGTCTCTTCAAAAACCAACATCTCATCAGTCATATCAGAAACCATTCTTTCTTCATCGTCAGAACTCGTGGAATTCGAAACTGGAGACTTTTCGCTATCAGATGTTGTGAATGGGCTAATAGTGCGAGCAGCAATTTCACTCTCCGAGAACGTATGATAATCAAAATGCAATTTCGGGATACTTATCGGTACCAATTCTTTTCGACGTCCTTCTACA